GGCCGAGCACCTGGAGCTGCTGGCAGAGATGCCCATGGTAGGCAGAATGAGTACCCAGGAGCGGCTGAAGCATGCCCAGAAGCGACGTGCCCAGCAGGTAAAGATGTGGGCCCAGGCTGAGAAGGAGGCCCATGGCAAGAAGAGCCATAAGGAACAACCGTGGAAGGAGGTGTCTGGCCTGAGGCCTCGGAAGCAGGTCCTCTTCCCTCCCAGCATTGTTCTTCTGGAGGCTGCTGCCCGAAACGACTTGGAGGAAGGTGAGTGTGCTTGAATCCCAGGGCAGGACACTCCCATCTGCCCGGGTGTGGCCCTGCATTGTGTTGGCTCAGAGCTAGGCCCAGAACTGTCTGTAGCTCCTGGACTCTAGCCCCAGCTCTGTTACTAATAGTCAACTGTCCTTAATAGGCGGTACATGCAAGAGGTCTTCTGTGGGGAAAGCCATATTATGGAATGGCTGGACCACAGGGTAGATACACTGGGGATTGCAGAGAAATAGTACTTGGGCTGAGAGCCATCACTGCCTCTTAACAGAGTGCAGGGCTGCCTGTGGATCTTCTCCCTTCATGTATGACTCCCGAGCCCCATCTCTGGGGAGTGGGATAGCATTGCTCACCTCTGATTAGAGATGGAGAGTAGGTGTCAGCCAAGTCCAGTATGGGTCCTAGAGCACATACGGCCTGGCACTATAACACACTTTCCATGACCCTACCTTTGACTTTTCTTCTCTTTGACTGGAATCATCTTAGTACGAAGACAAGTGTAACCATAGGAGGTCCCTTTCCTTTGCTGTTCCCTGTGCTTGTAATTTCCGGGGACTGGAGGAAGAGGCATCTGCTGGCTCTTGAGGACTCTTCCTGTCTTCCTCTTCTTGCAGTCCGTCAGTTCCTTAGTAGTGGGGTTAGCCCAAACCTGGCCAATGAGGATGGCTTGACTGCACTGCACCAGGTGAGCCCCTACAGAAGTGGGATGGGTGGGCTGGCCTCACTGGGGGGTCAGGGTATGGGGCTTAGGTTGCTCGTTTGCAGTGCTGCATTGATGACTTCCAAGAGATGGCACAGCAGCTCCTGGAGGCTGGGGCTGATGTCAATGCTCGGGACAGTGAGTGCTGGACACCTCTGCATGCTGCAGCCACCTGTGGCCATCTGCATCTGGTGGAGCTCCTCATTTCATGGTAGGACCTGTTGGGTGCTCGGGTGGTCGTTCAGGTGACCCCTCTGGGTTGCTCCTCTGTGTTTACCTCCGCTGTCCACCCTGTCTGGGATACCAGGGGCCCTGGAGGAAGAGGCATCTGCTGGCTTTTGAGGGCTCTTCCTGCCTTCCTCTTCTTGCAGTCCGTCAGTTCCTTAGTAGTGGGGTTGGCCTTCCTGGCAGGATAGACTCACCCCCAACTCTGAACCAAGGGTCTCGCCACAGTTTGCATAGGAAAGTGCCATTTGTCAGGATGGACTTGGTAAGGAGGGAAGGGGAATGAAGAGACCATCTGTGCCTAGGAGGAAGTACCAGGGTACGGGTGAGGCCTTTACCCCTAACAAGGAAGACAGAGCAGAGGAGGCTAGTGGCTTCTCTAGTAGGTCTGTATAGAAGCTTGGCCATTCTCGTATGAGCAGATGAGTCTCTGTCCCACATAGGTATCTCGGTAATGGAGTAGGGGTTAGTGTAGCTAGCAGGTTCCTGGGGCTCCTCTTGGACCTGCAGGCATTCTTTTTGTTCTGCTCTTCCGCCAGGCATAGGCACCCCTTCTGTTTTCTGAGGATCCCAGAGTCCTTGTCCATCTACAAGTGCCTCTACTATATGGAGTAGATGGGCATCATAAACCTGAAGTCTAGATGGACAGAGACTGCTAAGTCTAGCTCGAAGACAAGATCTAGAGCTGAGGAGTAGCAAACAGCCAGGCCCAGAGGCCAGCTTTTCTAGCAGGAGCTAGAACTTTGTTTTACCCTTGCCTGCCATCTCTTCCTAAGGACAGTCCTAGGCTTAGGGCCTCTGTTGAGTGGAAACTTGGTACAAGAGGACTGAGGACTTCTTGAGTGAGGAGCTATTTTATGAAAGTCCTGAGGCCAGCGGGTTGTCAATCTTTCTTTAGTGGTGCAGAGCTCCTGGCAGTCAATTCTGATGGGAACATGCCCTACGACCTGTGTGAGGATGAACAGACACTGGATTGCCTCGAGACTGCCATGGCCAATCATGGTGAGTATACTGTACCTGTTGGCAAGGGGTGGTGCCCTAAGTCATGCTTTCTCTGAGCCAGCTTGTCCCCCAGGTATCACCCAGGACAGCATTGAGGAGGCCCGGGCAGTGCCAGAGCTGTGCATGCTGAATGACCTCCAGAGCCTACTGCATGCTGGAGCCAATCTCAATGACCCTTTGGACCATGGGGCCACTCTGGTGAGCACTCAGTCACTTGGGGGTGTCTGTCCTGGGGCAGGTACTAGGAAGGGGTGTGGGCTGGGATTCAGGGCTGAGTGGTTTGCCTGCAGCTGCACATCGCCGCTGCTAATGGGTTCAGTGAGGTGGCTACCCTGCTGCTGGAGCAAGGAGCCAGCCTGAGCGCTAAGGACCATGATGGCTGGGAGCCTCTGCATGCTGCAGCCTACTGGGGCCAGGTGAGTGCACACAGAAGCAGGGAGAGGGTAGGTTCCTGGCTCTAGTGTGAGCCCTCAGCCAAGCAGCTGCTGCTGGCTGCCTGCAGGTGCATCTGGTAGAATTGCTTGTGGCCCATGGGGCTGATCTGAATGGAAAATCCCTGGTGGACGAGACACCCCTCGGTGAGTGTGGGGTTGCCTACATCTGGCAGAAGGGATAGGCCACGAAGATGCCTGTAACACCTCTATCCATCTCTTCTCAGACGTGTGTGGTGATGAGGAGGTAAGAGCTAAATTGCTAGAGCTCAAGCACAAACAAGATGCACTCCTGCGGGCCCAGGGCCGCCAGCGCTCCCTGCTGCACCGGCGGACCTCCAGTGCCGGCAGCCGTGGGTAAGCCTCCTACTGCAGGTCACTGTGTATCTCTGAGACCCAGGCTTTGCCCCTGTGGGGGCAGCAGAACCCCAGTAGGATCTGTAGGCAAAGGTTGTGAGCTGGATGATGATGTCTCAACTTCCTCTCTCCTCAGGAAGGTGGTGAGACGAGTGAGCCTGACACATCGCACCAACCTGTATCGAAAGGAGCATGCCCAAGAGGCTATTGTGTGGCAGCAGTCACCACTCACCAGTCCAGAGCCTCTAGAAGATGAAGACAGGCAGACAGATGCTGAGCTCCGGCTGCAGCCCCCGGAGGTGAGCGAGCATGCAACCTCTGTCCTGTCCCAGATGTGGAGCAGTCTTGGCATGTGATCTTGTTATTTAGGACCTAGTGAGTCCTCCGTCCTCGCTAGTCCCCTATGGAGGCATAGGCCCAGTGACCCTATGCTCTTAGATGGGCTAGTGCCCCTCAAGTATAGGTTGCCGACCTTCCCACTCTGATGTCTGTCCATCTACCACCACTTCACACAACCTGAACTCCAAGGCCAGTGTAGGTGAGAAACGCACCTGCTAATGGCCTCTGGGGTCCTGGCTTTGTCCACAGGACTGCTCTGAGGTGGCCAGGCCATACAATGGCCAAGCAGGGGCTCCCCCAGGGAAGCACCTGTACTCGAAGCGCCTTGATCGGATTGTCTCCTATCAGTTGAGTCCTGTGGAGAACAGTACTCCTGATGCCCTCATCCGGGACAAGGCACACCACACACTGGCAGAACTTAAACGGCAGCGAGCAGCTGCGAAGCTTCAGCGACCCAGTCCTGAAGGGCCTGAGGCCTGGGAGCCGGGCCTGTCTGTTGACACTGAGACCTCCCAGCCTGACTGTGGCTTCAGAACAACTGGGGACCCACCCCTGCTCAAGCTTACTGCCCCCTCAGAGGAGGCTGCTGTGGAGAAGAGGCCTTGCTGTTTGCTCATGTGAAATGTGACTCCTCAGTATGGCAGGGTTCAATCCCATGCCCAGCCAGAGGCTTCCTCATGACCTCTGGGATGGTGGCCCACTCTAGCACATGCCCCAGTGCTGTAGGGAAGCCAACACAAGAGCCCTGTACCGGCTTCCAGCCCAGGACACTGGCCACCTTGCTCAGGGATGGACTGTGAGAGCTAAACCTATGGACCTCAGGCCACAGACTGCTTATCCTGTGACTCTTGATAAAGACTGTTTGCCACTGAGCCTTCCTCTGTGTTTCACTGGGGCAGGGGCAGGTAGTACTGCTGGGTTAGGAGCCACCCATGCCCAGGAGCACCCAAACCCATATATGCATGCTGGGGCTTGTAGGTGGCAGTCCCAGCTTTTGTGGGAGGGAAGCTCAAGGCTACAGGCAAGAAGCCCAGCCTTTACCTCCACCTCTCCTGGCTGGTTCTGCTTCTTGGAGGCTCTGTAACCCTGTACTTTCCTGAAGGCAGCAGTGAACTTTGGACGAAGACTCTTCATGGGAAGTGCAGAGGGTAATCATTCAGAGGGACAGGGACCCTGGCTAGAAGGGATCCGATGCTTTCCATAGGATTGGACCAGAGCCAGCAGGGTGAAACAGGCAGAAGGCTGGCAGTAGGCACTTCCCAGGATCATAGTCTCAGTCCCTGGCAATTATCCCTGATCCTGGGCCATATTTGCCAGCTTCTGTCCTGTGCTGGTATAGGTGACAAGCACTTGGCCACTCAGGCTGTGCTGGCTAGGCACAAATGCATTAGAGTGAGAGGGGCCCTTTTAGGGGCCTCAAGCCGGAGGGAAGAAGGCAATCCTAGATCATGTCTGTTTGTTTGGCTTTTCATGGCCATACCTCCCAGGTGACATGGGCACTGACCTGGCCAGCCTCATGCCCATCCCTAGAGGAAGGGCCTGTCCTTCCTCTAGTACCCGTGGTTGGAAGGTTAGTGTCCTTGAAAGGGTTTGGGGGAGGGTTGGTGGTGGCTGCTGGTTAAATTTAGAGTAGAGCTGTGCTGCTGCCTGGAGTTCACCTGCCACCACTGCTGTGCCGCGGGCCCTGTTGCTACGAAGCAGGCAGTGGCAGGCTTGGCCCAGGCCAAGCCTATATTAATCCGTGCTCTTGTCTGAGGGCCAGAGCGAGGCCAGTGAGCTGGGAAGTCACTGTGGCATCAGAGCCAAGAGATCAGAGGTGAGTGTGTCCCCACAGGGGCTCATGTGGTGTTCCTTCCAGCCTGCAGTGACAGAGGGATCAAGGCTCACCTCAGGCCTCCCAGCTGCCTGCCCAGCTTAGAAGTCAGGCTTCTCAGCCCTCAACCTGAGCCATAGATTGGTGGGGGGCCTTAGATGACCAGTGTTGAGTACAGCCTATAAGCTTCCTGCAAGGCCAGTGGGTGTGGGGCTCTATGGGCCTATCAAAGCTCATTTCCTGCTCTCTGTACCAATCAGGAGCAAGAAGGAAGAGGACTTAGTTACTCTTGGCCTGGGTTGTGGCCCTAAGGGCAGCCTCAGGCTGATGTGTACAGAAAGGGTATGAGGGCAGTCCAGGGTGAGGTGTCCAGGACTAAGTGTCCTGTCTCCATTCATTGCCCCTCCCTCCAAACCCTTGCAGCGCTCATCAGTGACCAAGGTCCAACTAGCATTCTGGCAATCCCCATGGAACCCAGAGACTGAACACCTCCCTCCCCTCTCACAGTGCTCCCCAGATTTCTGAGGCCTGGCCTAGTTACCTAAGAGACACGTCCACTTGCTTAAGTAAAGATGTGTGTGTGTGTGTGTGTGTGTGTGTGTGTGTGTGTGTGTGTGAGAGAGAGAGAGAGAGAGAGAGTTCCGAGAGAGCTAGGCCTCAGCTGGGCCTTGCTGGGGTCAATCTCCAGCAGTCCCTGGCTCTGCTTTTAGTAGGCCCAGATGCTGGGTGCCCTCTTCTCCCAGTTTCTAGTGTGTCAGGTCTTGAGCCATCCGTCTGTCCCTACTCCCCAAGTGGATCTCCTGCTCCCTCATGGGGACATTAGGCGGCACTGGGCCTCGCCCCAAGCCCCGCCTGTCGCCTTACCAACTCCCTCTGGCTCCCTGGGGCAGATCTGTGCCCAGACTGGTGGGGCGGGGCCCAGGGTGCTCTAGCTCCTTCAGTCCTTTCTGCCCTTTTCAGTAGGGCTAGAGGCTGTGGTGAAGAGAGTGCTGTAGTGTCTTACCTCAGAAGACTTCCCCATTCCCAGGCCTGATTCCCCATCTGGGCCCTTCTACTTCCTGAGCCAATACCCTGCCTGGTTTGAACAGTCATGGCCTCAAGAGTGAATGATCAAAGCCGGGCTTCAAGCAATGGACTGAAGGGGAAGGTGTTAACCCTGGACACCATGAACCCATGTGTGCGGAGGGTGGAGTATGCAGTTCGAGGACCCATAGTACAGCGTGCCTTGGAGCTGGAACAGGAGCTGCGTCAGGTATTGCCTTGGGCCACTTGCTGCTCTACTGCTAAACTTGGGTTATTGGATTGTTCCCCAGTCCAGTGGAATGTGAAACAATAGCAGTAGGATGAATGTGCCAAATCTCACTGCCTGCTCCCCATACTTTCCCAGGGTGTGAAGAAGCCCTTTACAGAAGTCATCCGTGCCAATATTGGGGATGCACAGGCCATGGGACAGAGACCCATTACCTTCTTCCGCCAGGTCAGGCTGCTGCAGTGCCTGTGGTCACACCCCTTTCCCCCAAAAACTGCCCTGGCCTTAGTATTTGGTTCCCCAGGTCCTGGCTCTCTGTGTCTACCCCAGTCTTCTGAGCAGTCCTGACTTCCCAGAAGATGTCAAGAGAAGGGCAAAACGCATCTTGCAGGCATGCGGGGGCCAGAGCCTGGGTGAGTGCCTGCTTCAGGTAGAGTCCAAGCCTTAGGGAGAGGCAGAGATAGGTCCTTTGGGATGGTTGCCGAGACTTGCCCCCCCACCCCCTTACTTGTTTGTACCCTTTCAGGCGCCTATACCATTAGTTCTGGCATCCAGCTGATCAGGGAAGATGTGGCGCAGTACATTCAGAGGAGAGATGGAGGCATCCCTGCAGATCCGAACAACATATTTCTGTCCACTGGGGCCAGCGATGCCATTGTGGTAGGATGGGCCGGGTCAGAGTAGCCCTATGTGTGAGGCTAAACTGAGCCCAGTCTGGTGCAGCAAGCAGCTCAGGGCAGCCGTGAGGGCGTGGTAAGGTGTGCAACCCTGGGTTGCACTAATACTGTGCTCCCCATCCTGCCCCCAGACAATGCTCAAGCTGCTGGTGGCTGGCGAAGGCCGTGCACGCACGGGTGTACTCATTCCCATTCCTCAGTACCCATTGTACTCAGCTGCGCTGGCTGAGCTGGACGCAGTGCAGGTGGACTACTACCTGGACGAAGAGCGTGCCTGGGCTCTAGACATCGCGGAGCTGCAGCGTGCTCTGTGCCAGGCACGTGATCATTGCTGCCCTCGAGTGCTGTGCGTCATCAACCCTGGCAATCCCACTGGTAAACCTCCTATCTGCTCCACCCCATGTAATCTCACCCTTCCCAGCTAGCTCCGCCTCATAGTGTCCTCCTATCAGCCCTTCTCTTCCTCTGGGACCCGCCCTAGCTCTCCTGACCCAAGTATGCCTGGGCTGAACACAAGTGAACTTGGTTCACTGTTGCCCCTGGCTGACCCTGTCAGTGCTGCATCTCCATACTCCAGGGCAGGTGCAGACCCGTGAGTGCATCGAGGCCGTGATCCGCTTTGCTTTTGAAGAGGGACTTTTTCTGATGGCTGATGAGGTACAGTTGCACAGGTACACACATGGCAGTGGGCAAACAGCTCAGCAGCCAGCTGAATGACACTGCTGTCCCTACAGGTATACCAAGACAATGTGTATGCCGAGGGTTCTCAGTTCCATTCGTTCAAGAAGGTGCTCATGGAAATGGGGCCACCATATGCGTTGCAGCAGGAGCTTGCTTCTTTCCACTCTGTCTCCAAGGGCTACATGGGCGAGTGCGTACAGGTGCAGGAGATGGTAGTGGTGCAGCAGGGATGGGCGGAGGACTTTTCGGGCACTGCCATGGCTCAACAGCTCAACACCTTCTCTGATGAGCCTCAAATCGTGTTCTTCCCGGCAGGTGTGGGTTCCGTGGTGGCTATGTGGAGGTGGTAAACATGGATGCTGAGGTGCAGAAACAGATGGGAAAGCTGATGAGTGTGCGGCTGTGCCCACCAGTGCCGGGCCAGGCCCTTCTGGACATGGTGGTCAGTCCGCCGGTACCCTCTGAGCCATCCTTCAAGCAATTTCAAGCAGTGAGCAGATCAGACCAGGCCAAAGATGTCTGGTGATCCAGCTTTGGGGGTGGGGGGAACTATAGGGGAACACATTGAAACCCTCTTCCATAATTCCCTCCTGTGGTTGCAGGAGAGGCAGGAGGTGCTGGCTGAGCTGGCAGCCAAGGCTAAACTCACGGAGCAGATCTTCAATGAGGCTCCTGGTATCCACTGCAACCCAGTGCAGGGTGCCATGTATTCCTTCCCTCGAGTGCAGCTGCCCCCTCGAGCAGTGCGGCGTGCTCAGGTAGGGAACTCAGGGTTATGTGGGGCTGAACTGGGTGTTGGTTTGGGTGCTGTGACCTGACCAACCTCCTGACCCCCAGGAACTGGGCCTGGCCCCTGACATGTTCTTCTGCCTGTGCCTCCTGGAGGAGACTGGCATCTGCGTGGTACCTGGGAGTGGCTTTGGGCAGCAGGAGGGCACTTACCACTTCCGGTGAGACCTGGTATGTGTTGACCCCACCACAATTGGCCTGTGCCCCAGGCTTACTGTTTGTCCTTTTCAGGATGACTATTCTGCCCCCCATGGAGAAGCTGAGGCTGCTGCTGGAAAAACTGAGGCATTTCCATGCTAAATTCACCAATGAGTACTCCTGAAGTCACTGTCAGGACTACATGGGCAGCCTCTAACTGAATAAACTACAGGGCCTTGGGAGCCTTCAGTATTTGCTGCGTTTGCCTAGGTCTGGATACCTGTTCCTGCAGGTCCCTAATAAAGCTAGATGTCAGCTGACTTGAAGTGGTGACCCCAGCTTTTGATTTACCTGATTGGACCCCACTCAAAGGACACTAGACACATCATCTAAAGGAGTTGTTAAGGACAGTTCCCAGGAAAGAGCCCTTCAGGCTGTCATTCACCCATTTGTCTTGACAGACAGGTACATCTGTGGGCTAGGTCTCCATTATGGTCTTAAATGTGGGGCATGTGATGACCCCTTAAAATCAACTAACATACCTGTAAAGAGTGTGTAGGCAGACATAGATCACACCCACCTTTTAGGGCAACTCCAGAGCCACTTGGGAGGAGATGAAGTTGCAGGGAATTCCAGGGGAAAGAGATCTTAGAGGCTGCAGCAGAAATAGTAATTTTTGTTTGGGATACACAAATGTGTCCCTTGTTCTGGCACTTTCTGTGCCAACCACAGGGTAGAGCTGTTAAGCAGTGTTAACAATAAGGGTAGGAGTGATAGCAAGGGCTTGAGGAGACTGGTATAGAGCAAAGAGGGGGTGAGGGTGGGAATGGGGGGGGGTGTGCGTTTGCAAATCACCTCTAGGAGCCCCTGTGCACAGTGGTTGCTGCTATGATTCACTTGTTGGGTCCGCAGTGATCCTCTGGGGTAGGCAATAGCAGTCCTCCCTCCCCCTGAGTTATTTGTGCTACTAGGAATTGACTTTAGGACCTCTGAACTATATCCTGCCCACCACCCTTTTTCAATTTTAAGACATGGTCTTGCTAAATTAATTCAGGTCAAACTTAAACACATGATACTCTTGCCTCAGCCTGAATAGTTGAAATTAGAGGTGTTCACAATCATGCCCAAAAGTGAGCCCATTTTATAGATACGAAAACCTGGACCCCGAGACTATCTGAAAGTGATAGGACAGCCCCTCAGTGGAAGCAAGACAATGTTAGGATGTTTAGACTTGGACACAGGACCATGTGTCCAAATGGACACAACAGCAGTGCCCAATGGTCCACTATGACCTCATTTAACAGTCTTATAGTGGCCTTGGGAGGGCACAACTCTGGGAAGAGATTAGGCGTGGGCCTTCTGTGCAGGGCCAGAGTCACGTGTGCTGGACTGACTAGTTACCCTCTCTGAACACTGTAAGGGAAGGAAGTATCATGGACAGTATCTGACTGGCTTCTGACCTTTCCCACAAAACTCCAGCATCTGAGATCACTGCCTTGGGGATGTTCTAGAGCCAGAATCATAGTAAAGTATGGCGAGCAGTGCTAGAAGCACCACGGAGTAGAGTACTGCCACCTCCTTGGCAGCTGAGTATTAGAAATGCTTACACCTGCCGGGTGGTGGTGGCACACACCTTTAATCCTAGCACTCAGGAGGCAGAGGCAGTTCGAGGTCAGCCTGGTCTACAGAGTGAGTTCCAGAACAACAGGGCTACACAGAGAAACCCTGTCTTGAAACAAACAAACAAACAAACAAACGAAAGAAGTGCTTTGGAACGAATCTGGTAACCATTGAGCAAAAAGGCAGATACCTTTGACACCTGCCTGTATAGCACATGGAGCACAAGAAGCAGGCCACTGTGTCCAGATTTGTCACCAGGTGGGCCAAAGCAGATGTTCTCGGTCTGCAAAGGTAGCCTTAGCCTGCTTGACTTTTGGCCCTGGAGTTTTTAGCCAATTGAAGACTAGACTGCAGAGTGAACCGGGAGTTGGCTCCACCCTCAGCTAAAGGAGCCCCGCCTCTCCCTTAGCCGGCGCCTGCGCAAAGCATGCTGGTAGTCATGGATTGCGCGCAGGCTCACCACGCTCAGGTCTATTTCTCTGCGGTTTTCTCCCAACTTCAGTACTTCCGGGATATCGCGTCCCCAGTGTGCGTGTTGGGAACACGGTCTGATTGTTCCTGACCCCATGTAGACGGAGTAAACCCTGGCCTTCCACACTGAGTCATCTGATCCTACCACGAGCTGGTCATGCATGGGAAGCTGCTGCTGCTGGCCGGCCTCTATCTTGTGCAAGGTCTGCCCTATGGACTGCAGTCCAGCTTGCTGCCTATTTTCCTGCGGGCCCATCGTCTCTCCCTGACGCGTGTGGGTCTGACCAAAGGACTGTATGCTCCATGGCTGTTAAAACTGGCATGGGCGCCACTGGTGGACAGGCGGGGCTCCCCTCGGGTATGGTTAACACTCAGCACAGTGTCCCTGGGCCTGGTGTGTGCACTGCTGGCTGTGCTGCCTCCCCCGCAAGCTGGTCAGACAGGGCTGCCCACCATCATCATGGGGCTGCTGTTGCTGCTGAATCTGGGTGCAGCAGTGCAAGACGTAGCTCTGGACACAATCGCTGTGCAACTCCTGGAACCAAAGGAGCTGGGACCTGGGAACACCGTGCAGGTGGTGGCCTACAAGCTGGGATCAGCACTGGCTGGGGGTGGGCTGTTGGTCTTCTTCCCCACCCTCTCTTGGTCATTGCTTTTTTTGCTCCTAACTGCCACCTACTGGTTGGCTGCTGCTTTAGCCTGGGCTGCACCAGCCTTGGGACAGCTGTCTTGGCCTCGGGTCTCAGAGCATACCCCCCACACATCCCACTGTCTACAAGATTTGCTGGCTGTGCCTGGAACCCTCTGGACAGCAGGCTTTGTGCTCACCTACAAGCTGGGTGAGTGTGGCTTTGAGTAAGACAACCTCAACCTTGGAGCCCTAATTTTCTTATGGTTCTGAAATCCAGTTAGGGTTACTGCCCTGTTCTGGGTTATCAGCCCAGCCCCGCCCAGGGCTCTGTAGCTGTCTTGCCTCATTTCTTGACCTCCCTTAGCTTCAGCCACAGGCTGCTGGTATTGCTGATGGGGCTTCAAACTAACTGGGCCAGAATGTTCCAACATACGGGGCCCATGAAAATGAAGCAGAGCAGGGGCCTGAATGGTTGGAGTACTGAGGCCCCAGGACAGGAGAATAAAGGGGATCATCCTTGCTTATGGTCTCCTATAGGTGAGCAGGGTGCTGGCAGCCTGTTTCCACTTCTCCTGCTGGACCATGGTGCTTCTGCCTCAGACTTGGGTCTATGGAGTGGCTTGGGTGCTGTGACCTGCTCCATTGCTGGCTCCTCTTTAGGTGGGGCTCTACTGGCCAGGCACTGGTAAGCACTCCTCAGCCCTATCTGACTTTCATCTCCACCAGTGTCCCAGGGAATCTTACCATATCCAGTCTCTCAATTCCCAACCCAGGCAGCCTCTTTCCCTATTGAGGTCAGTGCTGCAGCTTCGCCTTGGGGGTTTGGCCTGTCAGACTGCTCTGCTCTTCTACCTCAGTACCCCAGGGGCCACTCTGGACCCTGGTACAATCATGAGAGGTGAGAGGTTAGCTTTGAGAAAAGAGGGAGGGAGCAGGAACCTACGGCCCCACTGACTTTGTTTTTTTAGGGACAGCTTTGCTGAGCCTGTGTCTACAACAGTTTCTTGGTGGTGTGGTCACCACTGCCACATTCACTGTGATGATGCACTGCAGCCAGTTGGCACCCAGAGCCCTGCAGGTAAGATGGCAGGGCAAGGATGCCCAGGGGCTGCAGGGCTAGGGAGCCATTAGGCCCTGATCTGTATTACCACCCACAGGCCACACATTACAGCCTCCTGGCCACTCTGGAACTGCTGGGCAAGCTGCTACCAGGTACCTTGGCTGGAGTGCTGGCTGATGGCCTGGGCCCACATCTCTGCTTTGCTGCTTTCCTTGTATTCTCAGTTCTACCCATTCTGGATCTGAGCCTGGCACCCAGTAACCTGACCTGAGCTATCCATAAGGCCAAAAAGCTCTGTGTCCTGGATGTCTGGAACATAAGAGATATCGCTATCCTCAAACTGAGGCTGTTACCAGAAAGGACATAAAATGACTGAATGCTTTTTATTTTGTACTTTGGATCTTTTTGTCTCCTTTCTACAAACTAGAAGGTTTTGCCTAATGGTCAATGATAGCTACATCAGTGCTTTGGCGAGTAGATGAACCTGACCCCTCTGTGTAGTGGCCATAGTCTGGCTTGCTTCATGTCTCCATCAGGTAGTGCTCTCCCATGGAAGGTGGTCATTGGCCTCTCAGCAGGAGCTCTTCTGTAGCCAGGCGCATCACGGTATGGAAGTTCATATGTAGATATTTTCTCCAGAAGCGCCGGTCCTGCCCATATATCTGGGCTGGGTAGCAGGGACTTGCTATGATAGAACAGAAATATACAGAATGACATCTCCCATCAGCCCTGAGGACTCAGCTGGCTCTAGCACTCAACTCCTGCCTACATCAGGCGGCTCTGTGGCCCTCACCAATGCCATGGAAGATGCGGGCCACAGCCCGTCCTGAAAACCTTTCCTCTGGCCTCAGGGACAGGAACTGGCGAATATCATGGCGAATGTGGTCCTCCCAGTCCTGAAGCTGTGGGAAGAGGGCATGTGATCTCCTTTGAGCCCCCATGGCACATCACATAAAATCATACCCCAAGCAGCCTAAGAAACCTTGAGCCAGGGAGGGGTTGGACAGTGGGGTTGGGTTGTACATGGGTATGTCATTGTCCTTAGCTTTAGCTATTGCCCTCAGAGGGGTAGTACCTACCTCGGTCTGCCCAGGCTCTGGACCCTGGTGATCCTTCACATCTTCCTCTTCCACTTTCTCAAAGTAGTGGCTGAGCAAGGTCTTCAATTGGTTGCTGCGCTCCTCATCAGCCTGCTCTAGACAGGGTCCACAACTGGGAAAGGCCACGCTGGGGATGAGACAAACTTGTCAAGAGTGCCCATGGAGTCAAAGTGGGTGGCCTAGGCTCTGTCTACCTTCTTCCCACCTGCGAAAGGCGTTAGACATTTGGTGTAGATGGGCCAGGGCCTTGTGTTCACGAGCCTGCACACGACTGTACAGAAAGTCGCAGATCTGGTCCTTCTCCTTGTCTGTCAGGTCACCAGGACTGTGCAGGTGAAAGGCCAACTCGCTGAACTCCACCAGCACCCCTGTGCCCTGTGCTGCACCTATCAGCAAGTGTGTCAGTCAGAGGTGAACAGGTGGCTGGCATAAGCCAGGCTGGGGTAGGGATGGGCATACCTTTCTTTAGCTCTTGGTTCCACTGTAGCTGGTAGAGAGCCCGCCGTACAGAGGCCAGCTCCCAGCCCATCGAGTCTGCCAGCTCCACCATGTCAAAATCGAAGGAGCTGCTACCCCGACTTGTGTCTTTTGGTGGGTACTTGGCCAAGCATGCAGCCAATGGGGGACACCTGTGCCCAGGGACAAATGAGTATGTATCCAACAGCCCTGGTCTTTCTCTTTATCCTTAGTCTGAGGTGAGATATGCTTACCTGCAGGCCAGAGCTTGCAGCTGGGCACTGCCCCCAGGGCAGTGTAGATGGCAGTGGGCATAGGTGTATGGCAGCAGCTTCAGCCAGTGCCGAGGGTGTAGTTCCAGATAGCATAGCAGAGTTTCAATAGCTAGAGGCAGAGGAAAGCTCAGGGGCTGTGGGGATAGTCTATCCCTCCTATACCCTGTATCTTCTCGGCTCCTTACCCTCCTCTGTCATGTCCAGAGCCTGTACTATAGACTGCACTGGGAATGCTCGCTCATGGCCCAGGCAGGCCTGTTCCAATACAGGATGTGTTTGTTGGTCATTGTGCTCTTTGGCCCCCTCAAGCAGGGATTTGGACATAGATCTCTGGGTGCATGTGCAGGATGGGAATACACGCTGCACCAGCTTCTTCACAGCCAAGAAGTCAGTGCCTTCAGCATGGGCGTGTCTGCGCAGTTCCCAGATGTCTTCACCCTGCATGGAGCCAGTCATATGGACACAGCTATAGCATCTGGGGCTAGAGTGGCAGACTGAAGGGGCATGGCATAGTGTAACCCCTGGGTCTAGCACGGTCTGGGGAGATGGGTGCCAACCTGGGGCTGCAAGAACAGGTGACAATGGGCAGGTTTCCCATCACGCCCTGCGCGGCCAATAGCTTGCACATAGCTCTCGAAGTTTGGAGGCAGTCCCAGGTGTAGCACAGCCCGAACATCTGGTCGGTCCAGCCCCATTCCAAAGGCTACTGTGGCCACTACCACCCGCAGGTGGCCTTGCATGAAGGCATCTTGCACTCGTCGCCGTTCCTGACTGCACATGCCAGCATGGTATGCTTCAGCTATAGCCTCAGGACTACAACCTACAGAGAAGGTGTACAAATAGTTGCCAGGATCATAGGCATGCAGAGGAAAGGGTCCCTGAGGTCAACCCTATACATGCCTACCTCTAGGCCTTGGCTCTCTCACCATAGACAGGCAGGTCCGGAGGAGAGCAGCCACCCGTTCTGTATCCTTTCGTCGAGTACAGTAAATGATAATAGAGTCCAGGGTACAAAAACGGTCACCTTGCAGCAGTGTCACCAGAGCCTGGCAATAAGGAGTGATTAGCATGGCACATTATGGATTTCCAATGGGGTCCCTAGTCCATATATAGCTACCTGGTCTGAATCTCTGTCCATGGACACGGAGAGGTGCAGATTAGCAGGGATGGTGGCTGACCTACTGAGCACCAGCTCTTTGGCTATGCCCAGGTGCTGGGCCACATCACGGACAGTGCTTTGTGTGGCTGTGGCTGTGAGACCCAAAAAGCAGCGCACACCCATATGCTCCCGAAGTACCTGAACCAGGGATTGTGTTGAGTTACTTTGCCCACCTGAGCCCCAGCCCACCACCATCCTGGCCCCAACAAAAGCTCACTTTGCAAACACGCAGGTAACAGGGCCGGAAGTTGTGTGACCACTGAGAGAGGCAGTGGACCTCGTCAATGCAGGCGAAGGCAATTGGAGGCAACTGAGTGGCCTGGGGGAGGCTGGCAGGGCCCTTAGCCCCACACCCGACCAAGGTCTCAGGGGACACAATCAGCACATGCACCTGGGCTGCTTTTACCTGAAGGGAACAGGCTTATGGACACTGTCCAGATGGATGCCCCCTACCACCCATCCACAGGGGCCCTCCTGACCTTTTTCAAGACAGCTTCTCGTTGTTTTTTGGTCATACCTGAGTGGAGGCAGGCTGCCTTCAGACACACAGGCAGGTCAGACACCTGTAAATGCAATGCTGTCACGGCACAGCTCAGTCCCCTGCTAAATTCTCTAAGAACTACTCAACCCTCTGGTAGGAAAAGCATCAGATGCTGGGTCCTGGGAGGAAAAGTTCAGAGCCAGCCACCTATGGACCCAGGCACCCTGGAGATAAGGAGCTACATGGAGAGGAGAATACTGGGCACTAGGCCGTACCACCCTTAGGAAGGTCAGCTGGCCACTGGTGTGTTTAAGAAACAAGAAGCACCTAAGGGTATCAGAGGTATCAGTTTTCAGACTTTCCAGATACCAAGAGCCTGTCCATATACCTGGTCATCCATGAGTGAAAGGAGAGGAGAGACCACCAGTGTGAGGCAGGGGCTTCTCCGGGCATATAGCAGTGCCGGCAGCTGGTAACACAGAGACTTGCCAGCACCTGTGGGCAGCACTAACAGAGTGGAGATGCCTGGACAGGACGAGAGGCAGCAGCTATAAGGCTCAATTGGCCAGACACAGCCTGGAACAGTTCCTAGGCAGCCACACCTACCAGAAAGAATCCGCATGACTGCATCTTCTTGTCCAGGGCGGAAGGCTTTGTGCCCTAGCTGCTGTAGGACCTGGAATACCTCAGCAGGGGTTTCTGTGAACACAAGTTGTGGTTTGAATGAGAACAGCCCCCATTTGACAAACTACTTTGGGAGAATTAGGAAGTGTGGCCTTGATAGAAGAAGTGTGTCGCTGGGGGTGACTTTTGAGGGTTTCAAAAGTTCAGGCCAGGTTCAGTGTCTTTCTCTGCCTGTCGATCAGGAAGTGATCAGCTACTTCTCCAGCACCATGCCTGCTGTTTCCCACCATGATAATAACAGATGAAGCTTCTGAAAACAGTCTACAAGCCTCAATTAGACACTTTCTTTTATAAGGGGTGCTGTGGTCACGGTCTCTTCACAGCAATAGAACAGTGACTAAGACATGCGTTGGTATAGACTCTGGACCATTAAGTTCCACTCACCTGCTATATGCCCCAAGGGCCCTGGTGGGTAGAGGGGCAACACTGGGCAGCGAGGACAGGGTACCTGTAGCTTTGCCCCATCAGGTTCTGTATCCTTACCTGCTTAGATAGGCAAGAGTGGATGGATGATGTGGGAACATCAGGGTAGACAGAGACCATCCTGGCACAATGGCCACTGGTCACATTCACCCATGCCCCCTCACTCACCCGAGAGGTGACAGGAATTAGTACCTGCCATCTGTGCTTTTTCTTCCAAAGTGGAAATGGGCTGTTTGTCATCCCTGTCACCTTCCTCCTGGAAGGTCAGGGTGGAGCCTAGAACAGGGTTAAGAGCTGGTAGGTCCTTTTGTTTGCATAAGTAATTCTCTAGTTCCTCTCCCACCCCTCCCCCCATGGCTAAAGAGGCTTACCTGGCTGCGAGCACTGGGATGCCCAGTGACCAAATTGCCCACACCGGAAACAAGTGTCCTGAACTGTGGCTCTGGGTCTGCTTCCCCCATACTGCTGTTCTTTCTTCTTCCACTTTTGCTTCCACACCTGGGGAAGGTACACAAACACTATTCAAGGAGGAGACAGGAGGAGAGGAAGGATTGGCCCATTCCATTTAATATATCTCACCTGTTTTCGGAGAAGCCTGCCTCGATTAGCCCCCACTCGTACGTGGCACTTCTGTTTCATGTTGAGTCTAACATAGTTCCCTCTGTTCAAGAAAGCTGGTCGAGTGGAGGTGTGGGCATGGGCCTTGCCTTCAGCCTTCTCTGTCCTGGCCTTCTTGGAGGAGTTGTGGGGCCGAGGTGCATTCACAAGGGCAGGTTCTCCTGGAGGATCTCTCTCATGTGTGGCAGCCCTGGCTCCCTCCGATAGCAGTCCTGCTTGGCTGCTATCCTGGGCTTGTACAAAGTCCTCAGAGCTCTCATTCCAGTCCCATTTCCTATCTTTCTTGTTGCTGGATTTGGGGCTCTGTAGCTGTATGGCTAGGCCCTCTGGGCTCTGTGAAGACCCTTCTGAATAAGTACCAGGATCAAGGTCATTCACCTTGCCTGACATCTGAGGCTGTGACTCCTTTCCATCTAGGTCAAGCCCATAGGCATTGGGGGCCTCTAGAAGTTCTGAAACTCTGTTGTGACACCGCTCTAACCAGGCAGGATCTAGAGAACTCAGCCTCAGGCTCAGGGATGCCTGAAGCTGTTGGAGTTGGCCTAGCCTTGGCTGAGGCCCAGGAAGCTGGGGAAGTACATCATTAGTTTCATCTGGACAGGTCCTTGGGCTTGGTGGCCTTGGAGTGGGCACCGAGGACAAGTTTCTCTTTTGAGGCTGGCATTTTCGGCTCAGGGTTGGCCTAGGCTAGGTTGGGGAAGACAGAACAGCAAGTAGGAACTCAGGACCCTGAGCTACTGCCTAAGTGTGGAACAGACAAGAACCTGAGAGTGAGGTGGCCATGAGCACCTTAGCAGCCTAGCCCTGCTAACTGCAGGAACCTGTGCCTGTGTGTGCATGCTGTATAGGAGGGTAGGCATAGAAGGGCCCTGGCAAACTACCCGGAGCCAAAGGCAGCTCTGGGTTCACTTCCACTTCTTACCTGGAGCTTTGCTGTTTTCAGATTGTTTTCCAGATTGGCTTTGAGCCTCTTTCCATAGTCTTGTACTGAACTCAATGAGCCATGCCTGGGCATAGACTGTGTATTCTGGGTTGCAGCACGATTCAGGTGGGGACCCCAGCAGCTTGGCTCCTGTGCCTGCTGTAGATAGTAGTGGCCTAGGTCAGGTTAAAGGGCGGTATGGGCACAGAAGTGCTCCAAAGCTTTCCCTTAACCCCTCTTGGGCGGACCTGGCCACTCAATTCTGTGCCCCAAGGAAGCATGGCTGCAACAGCTTTTGACCATACAGAATGCTGACTGGGATCAAGGGTCAGTATACCTCCTCAGCTGTCTCGGCGAGAGACTGCTCTAGGAAGCGGTGTCCGTCGCCGGCCTGGCGCACTGTCTGCTTTAGGTTACGGTACTCACGGTAGAGCGCTGAGAAGGCAGGGGTCGAGGGTCAGGGCACGCCTACTAACATTAGCCCCTTCCCAGGCCCGCCAGCCCAGCGCTCACCGCGCGTCTCCTCAGGGGCCGCCTCCACGTCCTCCTAGGAGAGAAGCTCGTCAGCCACAAGCTGCGCCTGGGTCCCCACTCACCGCCCTGTCCGGCACCCCACCCCATCTTACCCGCGCTGGCCGTCTACCGTGCAGTCGTGCAAAAGCGCGTTCCCACTCCTGCAGCCGTGCGCGAACGCTTGCTAATCTTTTCATGGCAGCCAGAGCTCTAGTAGAGGAAAATCTCCCGCCACCTCTGGGAAGTCTCGTTCTTAGCCAATAGGAGCTGGCGGCGGGCGATGCCCTGCCGAGAGGCCGATTCGCTGGGCCCTTGGAGGGCGGCCCAGGCAAGGTGTGACGTCATCTCTCCGCGCCGCAGTGCTGCGCAGTGCTGAGCGAGTCTGCGGGTTGGGCTGGAGGCCTTGGTGGTGGGGCGGGTGAGTTGGGGCGGCTGGGCTGGTATCCGAGCGGGGCGAAGAGTCGGCAGCCATAAGGGTCATGACACTTCGACGAGGGCTGGCTCTTTAAGGTCCCGGCTGCAACGGATTTTCGGGAGGTGCCGCTGAGCGGGGATGGGCCCGGGTGAGACCGGCAATTGCAGGGCGACGTAGGGGCAGGTGAGGATGTTCTGAACCTGCAGGGACATGCTCGCCCGCGTTAGTTGATGTTCCGGACTTGGTTCTTTTTTTTTTTTTTCAGACAGGGCGTTCTCTGTATTGTTTTCGAGTCTGTCCTGGCATTCACTTTGTAGACCAAGCTGGCCTCGAACTCACAGAGATTTGCTTGCCTCAGCCTCTCGAGTGCTGGGATTAAAGGCGTGCGCCACCAAAGCCCGGCTCGGACTTGGTTCTTGAAGGATCCGGGCGTGCCTGTCTGTGTATCTCACCACAGAGACTGCTGTCTTCTGCGTGCAGCATTATCCCCAGAAGCAATCCTTGCTTGGAGGCCGGGCCGGCCGCTTTCCTCTTAAGACAGGTGTTCGATCGGTTCGTCCTGTCAGTGAGGCAGTCCTCGGCGAGATTACCGTAAGGTCCAGTCAGATCGAGGATAGTCATCCGGGCTTTCCCAGGGATTTGTGCCTTAAGGACTGTTAAGATGTGAGAAGTAAGCAAACCCTGGGTTCTGCAGTCTTTCTGCTTCCTGCCCTTTGTTCCGTGCTGTAATTTTAGGCAAGGCGTAGGTTATACAATCCGTTGCAGGGTGAGGCCTGTAATGTTGTCCTCAGGGTAAGGTGTTCGGTCCACAGAAGTATGCTGACCTGTGTATTGGGAATCCTTTAGCCTTAGGGGCTTTTGCATGCGGCTTCTAAGATAAAGTGCTGTGATAGTCTCTGTCTGACCTGGATCTTTCTGACTCCCATGAATTTGCTGGTCTCTGTACAATGGTTTGTCAGTGAAGAGAGGATTCCCAAATAGGAGGAAAGGACCACAGAGGTTGAGAGCTACTTTCCCTTGGGGATTTCTGTGCCTAGTTAAACCCTAGAAAACTGTTATCTGTGGAGTTCATACTAAATGCCCTTAATCTCATAGGCTGCCCAGCCAGCATCTGTGCTCAGGATGCTTTTTAGCAAAACTAATCCCAGCACTTATAAACTGTGCTTAGATTTCCATAAATGCAGAGACACATCATATGGAGGGTTAGGCTGTGGCTACTGGCTCTGTGGGAATTCTCTACCTGTTCTTGTACTGATGGGAAGAAAGGCCTGTAGTTTCTTGTAATTGAAAAATATTTACTTTGCCATTGTTGTGTATATCTATATCTGAGTGTGCATACAGGAGCCCTCTGAGGTCAGGAAAGGGCATCTGCATCAGATCCCTTGGAACTGCAGTTTCAGGTGGTTGTGATACACCATGTGGGTTCTGGAAACCAAACTTAGGTCTTTTGAAAAATCAGTAAATGCTCTTTAACCACTGAGCCATTTCTCCACTTTCTATCTTACAAACAAACAAACAAAAACCCAGACTCAAGTATTGGGCCAGCTAACCAGTGAGCTCTGGGATCTTCCTGTCCTCTGCTGACTCCAGGGCTGGGTTCACAGAGGTGTCAACCATACCATTTTTCTACATAGGTTCTGGGATCTCTGAAGTCAGGTGCTCACTTTTGTTCAGCAAGCACTATACAGAAAAGCATCCCCAGCCCCTTGCTTTCCTTTTCTTTCCTTTTTTTTTTCTTTTCTTTTTGAGATAGGATGCTTTTATGTATGTCTGTTTGGATAACTAGACTAGGCCGAGATCCACCTGCTTCTTGCCTCCCCTGGTGCTGAAATTGAAGGTGTACAATTCCAGGCCTAGCCCTTATTTTACTTTTGAGGGAGGATTTCTGAGTCATGTCTGTGACTCAGCAGGCCTAAAGTACAGCTATTCATCAGCAGGCCACGCATAAACAGGCAGGTTATTGACAGGCCTGCACTGTTCATGTTCTGTTAAACAGTTTGCTTTCCCATGCTATTGGGGTATGAAGTTGTCTCCTGTCCACTCTGCAAAGCTCTAAGAACGTACTAGGAGTTGCTGATGGCACATGCTTGTGATCCCAGAAGAGGCAGGAGGATTGCCAGAAGTCCCAAGACAAGCCTGGGTTACACTGTGAGCCCCTGTCTCCAGTCTAACAAAGAACAGTTCCTTTGTGCAACTCTCCTCCACTAACTGCCAACCCAGCACCATGTCAGATACATTGTGGGCTTTTGTATAATGCATAATTTGGAGAGGTTGTGGCCTGATACTGGCCCAGGGTTTGTCTCACCTAATTAAGACCCCTCTCCTGCAGGTGGCTCTCTGCCCAGTCCAGCACCATGCACACACTTGTGTTCCTCAGCACACGGCAGGTGCTTCAGTGCCAGCCAGCTGCCTGCCAGGCCCTGCCCCTGCTGCCACGAGAGCTCTTCCCCCTGTTATTCAAGGTGGCCTTCATGGACAAGAAGACAGTTGTGCTGCGTGAGCTGGTGCACACATGGCCCTTCCCACTACTTAGTTTTCAGCAGCTACTACAGGAGTGTGCCCATTGCAACCGAGCCTTGCTGCAGGAGCGGCTCAGCACAGAAAGCATGCACGCTGTGATCCTGGGGTTGACTGCCCGGCTTCACACTCCAGAAAGAGAGGCTGGTACACAACCCTTTTGCAGGTATGCATTTATCTGAGGGGCACATAGGCTAGGGGTACAAAGTGTATTCACTGAATTGGCTCCAGGCTGTGGCCCCAAGGGTAGAAAGAGCTTAGTATGGGAATAGTCATATTGGTTGGTTTTGTACAAGATGACTGGGAAGGATGTAGGCCTTGCCCCCTCATTCCTGCCTCTGGCCATCCTTGCTCCCAGGAAGCATGCACTGCGGGTGCTAGACATAACTGGTCTTCTGGATGACGGTGTGGAGCAGAATCCTGGAACCATGAGTATGTGGGACTGCACAGCAGCTGTAGCCAGAACGTGTATTGCCCAGCAGCAGGGTGGGACTGCTGAATCAGGGCTGTCACTACCAGTCCCTGTGGAAGTTCGTGTAGACCTTCGGGTAAATCGGGCCTCCTACACATTCCTTCGCGAGGCACTCCAAAGTAGTGTGGGTAGCCCACTGAGGCTTTGCTGCCGGGACCTTCGGGCTGAGGATCTACCCATGCGCAATACTGTGGCCCTGCTGCAGCTTCTAGATGCAGGCTCTCTGCGCCGAATAGACCTGCGCTTCAATAATCTGGGCTTGCGTGGTCTGTCTGTCATTATCCCACATGTGGCCCGCTTTCAGCACCTAGCTAGCCTGAGGTTACACTACGTGCATGGGGACTCGAGGCAGCCTTCTGTGGATGGTGAGGACAACTTTCGCTACTTTCTGGCCCAAATGGGCCGCTTTATCTGTCTTCGGGAGCTCAGCATGGGCTCTTCTCTTCTTTCAGGCAGGCTGGACCAATTGCTCAGGTGAGTGGTTTCTACCATTGCTCTGTCCCTTCTCTATATGAGGATACTGTCCTTGGCCTGCCTGCCCATGACCTTCTGTAACTCCTTTGTCCCTGCAGCACCCTGCAGAGCCCCCTGGAAAGCCTAGAGCTGGCCTTCTGTGCATTGTTGCCTGAGGACCTCCGCTTCTTGGCTCAGAGCACTCATGCTACCCACCTCAAGAAGCTGGATTTGAGTGGCAATGACTTGTCAGGCAACCAGTTGATACCCTTCCAGGGTCTGCTGCAGGCAGCTGCAGCCACATTGCTGCATCTTGAGCTGACTGAGTGCCAACTTGCTGATGCCCAGCTGCTGGCCACACTGCCCACCCTTATTTGTTGTGCCAGTCTCCGCTACCTTGGTCTCTATGGCAACCCTTTGTCTATGGCAGGACTTAAAGAGCTGCTTCGGCACTCTGTGGTACAGGCCGAGCTACGCACTGTAGTACACCCCTTCCCTGTGGATTGCTATGAGGACCTTCCTTGGCCACCACCTGCCTCTGTCCTTTTGGAAGCCTCCATCAATGAGGAGAAGTTTGCCCGTGTAGAAGCTGAGTTGCACCAATTGCTCTTAGCTTCAGGCCGTGCCCATGTACTCTGGACCACTGACATCTATGGGCGCTTGGCTGCAGACTATTTTAATCTCTGATCTCCAAAGTATTGATGAGATAGGTCAAGAGCCTTTGGGACTCTCCTAGAGGCCTGGCACAAAGGCTTTCTTAGGTTTTATGTGATTTGCCTTGCTTCGGGGTATACCTTGAATCACCTACTTCTTGCAGTGCCCTCACCTGCTCCCAGTATCTGACTGTCGGTTTCTCAGGACTGTGCTCCTGTACTCTGTATGGCTGCGCTTGATTGCTCTTCTGGTTTGCAGCCTCTCTGCAGAAAACATTAGTCCCCGGGCATACCCCATGCCCTTAGAAGGAGTGCAGTGCATTAATGCATTGAGGTAGATGTTAGGATGATCCTCAGGGAGTCCCTCATGAGGTCTGGGGCCTTATGTCATGTATCTTGCCTGGCACCTGAGGCACTCTATTACCTGGCTCTGTAGGGTGTGGGCAAGGTATCTGGAACTTGTGCAGTATCTGGAACTTGAATTTATGGGCTTTTTTTTTTTTTTTTTTTTTTTTTTTTTTTTTTTGTGTGTGTGTGTCCTAATTGGATGGGAAAGACTTGCTTACTCCTGGTGTTTTTTATCATGGCAAGATGACAAGTATCATCCAAGCTACGTTATCCCATTATTCCTACTGTCCAGAGCCAGAGTGGATTGCCAGAGCTGCCAGCTGGGGACATTATCTATGGCCCAGTCACTCACAGACCCACAGTTACTGACCCACCACACAGTATTGTAGAGTGGCTTCAACTTTACTAAAGAGCATGTGTGGGGCTGCACCGGCCAATCCCCGGCGTCCACGTCATTGACACGTGCAGCAGGCTTAGCAATGGATCTCATAGGCGACACGCGGAGGAAGGCGTAACCCAGAGAAGAGCCCTTCGGAAGGGTGTTGCTCCCCCGGCGCCTCAGGCGTTATCTCTGCAAACAGAGGCTTGGAACGGTCAATGACGAACATCTCATGTCCGCGTTCATCACGGAGTTCCTCGAGCTGCGCAAAGGTGCAAGGCCCGTCTGAATAGTCGTTGACAAACAGTGTGCCTTCCCCTGGTGGAGCAGGCACCTTTTTCCGCCGGCGCCGGCGTCGGCAGATCATGGCAGCCAACAGCAGCGCAGTGAGCGCCAGCAGCGCGATAGCTGCTGCAATCGCTGTCTGTGTTGCTAGGCCCAGGGCGCGGAAGGCCATGCTGCCTGCCTCGTGCTGGGACTCTAGTCCCACAGGGCGTGTAGCTGGGGCCTGCAGGGCGGGTACCTGCTGTGACTGCTGCCGGGATGCGTTGACCAGGAGATAAAAGGGCACACGCGCTTTGCCACCAGCATTGGTGGCCTCACATTCGTACTTGCCAGCGTGAGCTAGTGTGATGTTTGTGAGGAAGAGCATGCCGCTGCCAGTGTCACGGGTCGCATGCCCACCCAGACCTGGTGTCCCAGCTTCAGGCTGGGCTTGGGCTTGAGGTTTGCCATCGTGTGGCTGGGACACCTTTCTCCAGACCACCAGGGGCTGTGGGTATCCTGATGCCTGACAGGCTACCTGCAGGTCCTCCCCCAGGTTAGCTGTGAGCTCCGGGGGCTCCACATTCACAGAGGGTGGGATGCAGATGAGGCTGCCACCAGATACTTCTAGGAGACTCTGTAGCGCCAGGCGTGGGGGCTCTGCACATGTGATCTTCTTGTCTCTGGAGCTCAGCAGTCGACGGCCGCCTTCTTTGATCCAAGAGCCCAGCCAATGAAGGGCACAATCACAACGCCATGGGTTTTCTGTGTAGGGCAGAACACAGCCTAGGTAGATGGGGTCCTGCTGATCCAGACAGAAACACTTACCACCTCTTCCCTCATCCAAGTTCCTAGGAGTGCATGTGATCCCAGTTCCTGAAAGAGCATCAGCTTCTCTGAAGTCCCATTTTATAAGCCTCCACGTCCTCTCATATCCCAGCAGCACTGAAACGCTGTTGTCAAATGTGCTCTCTCTAGTTTTTGTCTGCCTGCCCTCTGATGACAAACTGCAAGAGTCTCAGTTCTGTGAAGTTACACTGTGGAACTAGTTCTTGTCTTCCTTACACAGGTGCACAAACTTTCTCTACTAGCACTGCCTGGTGGTCCCTTACCAAAGCTGAAGGTGTGACCTTGGAGAGTAATGGTCATGGACTGCCACAGTGGATGGAGCAAGACAGAAAGGGAGGCAAATCTCCATAGAATATGGTTGAAGCCTCTCACCAAGTGAGACTCAAGGATTACAGCACAATTAACATTTGCTTTGAAGATCGTCAACATAATGATAGTTCTTTTAAATATAGAGGCATGCTATGATAGCAGTGAGCCATACTTAAAGCCTAAGCATATATAAATATGATCTTCAAGAATGACCTTACTCCTTTTGTAGGTAATATCTGGGGTAATCATAAGATTAAACCTTTGTTTAGAATAAGGTACCTTCCCTTACAACCATTGTATCCTAGGGATTTATTTGCACTATCAATTGTAACCCCATCCAATGCAGAGAGCCTATAGTCTCACTTAAGTTTTGTTTGTTTTGATTTCAAGGTAGGCTTTCTCTGTGTAGCCCTGGCTGTCCTGAACTAGGGTAGCCTTGAACTTGGAGATCCTCCAGCAATTGTCTCCCGAGTGTTGGAACTAAATGCTTACATCACATTACCAAACTCACTTAGGTTCTTTTTTGTTTGAGAGTAATTTCTGAAGCCATTAAAACCAATATATATGGCTACTGTCAAGGCACTTATCTGTGACTGTAACACCCACACCAATGTTTTTGTGTGTCTTTCTTCCCCAGTACCTGTTTTACACCTATGTTAATGTCCCCTTTAATAAACTCCAACTCTTACATCTTGGCTTATTCTGAAACTCTTCTGCAGTGATGTGAAGGAGCTGGCTCTACCTGAGTCAGGGTCTGTAAAAAATTAAGATAACTCCCTCCCCAGGTTGCTGTGGCCATAATGGGGCATTGTCTGTGTTCCTACCATGAACTAACTGACAATAGGAACCCCCTGTGTATCTGAGCCTGTCTCTCCCTACTGGTGCAAGATCAGATCCTTGCCAAGGGGAGAGTTACCTGTGAGGCGCAGGACTTGTAGGCTGGTCAGAGGCTGCAGGGCTTCTCTGCTGATGGTGCCCAATTGGTTCCTGCTGAGGTCCAGCAAGGCTAAGGAGGAAAGCCCAGCCAGGGCCTGGTCCTCCAGTAATTCAATACTGTTTTCTTGAAGATGCAGCTCCTGCAGTCGCTTAAGTAGGAACAGCAGATATCAGGAAAAAGGGCCCTGGGAAGCTAGACAATATTAACTTCTCTCCCCCTAATCACTCCAGCCAGTTACTGACATCACAGCAAGATCCCGCACTTTCAGCATTTGTTGCTCACCGGCAGGTGCAAGAAGGTGAAATCCAGCAGCTTCGCCAGCTGGTTTCCAGCCAGGTAAAGAACGCGTAACTGGGCCAAGCCCACAAACGCACCGCCACGCAATCCCCGAAGCCGGTTGCCAGTGAGCGCCAGTTCAAGCAGGCGTGGCTGTGCACGGAAGGCACCGGATTCCAGTGCCCTCAGGGTATTGTTATGCAAGTAGAGGTGGCGCAGGGCAGCGAGTGGTGCCAGGGCGCCTTGCTCCAGGTGCGCGATGCTGTTGTCTTGCAGGAACAGCGTCTGAAGTTTGTGGGGATCAGAGCATTACTTCACAGTAGGGCATGTCCCACTCCCATGGAGTGTCCCATCCCACGTGCCTACCTTTGCACCCTAATGACCTTCCACCACACCTCTGATGCTCACACAATCTCCTCCATTGTGGTGGGTACTTGTAGCCCACTACTCCAATACCCTCCAATCCCACATAGTGCCCACCTGAGTCCCTGGGGGGATTCCCGGTGGGACGACACGCAACCGTAGGGCACCGCACTCCACTGTGGCACTGTAGCAGCGGCAAGAAGCGGGACAGCCCGTGGTGTGGGGCGGGAGTCCGGGCAGCAGTGGCAGCAACAGCAACCCCAGCAGTAGCAGCAGCAGTGGGGGCGCCCCCAGGGCCATTTCCAAAGAGCCCCACCAGGAAGTTATGGCTTCCCCAAGGACCTGGTCGGGATGTGCCTCCTGAAACAGGTTAGTAGGCCAGCGCATGAGCAGGAATGGTGGGTTGTGTTCTTAATCTCAACACTGGGGAGGCTGAGGCTGCAGGATTGCCATAAATTCAAGGATAGTCTAGGCAATATGGGTCGGGCCCTATGGCTGGACTACTGTGAGACTTTGTCTCAAAATACAAAACAAATTATGAAACAACATGAATGGAAGTCTACACACAATTCCTGTGTAACTTTTGAAAAGTCACTAGCAGCACATCAGAACAAGGAAGGCAGATCTCTGTGAGTTGAGGCCAGAATGGTTTACACAGTTCATTCCAGGCTGGTCAAGGCTCCACAGTGGGACTCTTTTTGAGTGTTGAGATCAAAAGGCCTGTGTCACCCTGCTCAGCTTATTTCTAATTTTTTCTTTTTAAAAGTTTTTTTATCTTTTCATTTAGATTTACTTATTTTATAGGTATGAGTGTATCCCCTGTGTGTGCATCTCATGCATGCCTGGTGCTCTCAAGTTAGAAGGGCATCAGATCTCCTGGAACTAGAGTTAGGATGGTTGAGAGCCACCATGTGGGTACTAGGAATCAAACCTGGGTCCCCTGGAAGGGCAGCCAGAGCCCTCCCTTAACCACCACCATCCCTTTGAGACAGGGTCTTTCTCTCTGTGGCCCTGACTTGTTTTGGAACTCTCTATGTAGACCATGTTGGCCTTGAACTCAGAGATCCACCTGCCTTTGCCTCTCTAATACTGGGATTTAAGACCTGAGTCACCACCCCTGGCTGTTATTTCTAATTTGAGTCAGGGTTTTGCTATATAGCCCATATATAGCTAGTTCTACTTGAACTCGAGATACTATTGTTCATGTTCCCAAGTGGCAAGGTTACAGGTATCACACCTAGCTTTCTCAGGAATTTTTTTTTTTTTTTTTTTTTTTTTTTTTTAAGAGAACTGAGGATTAAGACAAACAGGAAAACCAATTCAGAAGCCAAATGCTATGCCCTCTACCCACACCAGTCTGGTTCCCAAGGGGTCTTTATGTTTGGAATAGATGGTGTGCGTCCTGGCTGGGATGTGGTAGGAAGCCTTAGGCCACCAACTGCTTCCACTTCTCTTTCCTTCTTCCTACTGGGAAGTGACCTCAGTGTCTCTTGTACACTAAGCACCGGGCTTAAGTACACAATACTACCTAGCTACACTCCTATCATTAACTGGGTATCTAGCTTCCTAAGTAGAATACAGGGAACAGTGATGTGAAACTATCAAGAAATGCACTCACAGTAGTTTGTTGCATGTAACTCTGACCCTAGGGACAGGAGGAGTAGGGTCTGGTTCTAGACACAATGCTCAGTTTTATTGGTATTACTACCAAGAGAAGCCTGCTTTTTTTTTTTTTTTTTTTTTGGAAGTTAAGGAAGATAGGAGCAAGGGTGCAGTGCAGTTTTCCTCATTTGGCACAGTCTACCCCTTTTAGCACCTATTTATTCACTAGGTCTCTTCGCTGTGCGTCAGGCTGAACTGTACTAAGTGGCCTTGGTGTTTGTTTTAATTTTGCACCAATTGTAAGTCACATGATCATTTAAAGTCAATAGATGAGGCAGCATAGCAGTAAAGTTTTAATGGAATAACTTTGGCACAGGCAAAGGCAGTTCCTAGATATCTCAGGACATGTGGAGCCCCAAGAAATGGGGCGTTTCCTAGGCGTCTGGGTTTAATTTCCTGGAGCATGAGACTGGTGGGTTCCTGGCTCCAGGCCTTGTGCATCTGTCCAGCCTTCAGTAGCAAAGCCTTGATCTGTGCATTAGGGGATCAGAGCTGCTGCTCATACAGTTGCCCAGATGTGCATCAATGCAAGACAGCCATGACAGGAATGGGGGCCCCTTATTAGATGAGCCCAGAAATCCTTTTATCAGGACACGAACCCCTAATCCTAGGCAGGAGTAGTCTCCTGGGGCTCATGGGTGCAGAGGAGCCCTGTGTCCTCGCTCTGGCGCAGGACGAAGCCTTAGCTGGTCTCTGACAGTCCTTACGCCCAGGCTCTTTTAAACAAGCACTGCCTCCCCTAACCTCCCCCTCACACTCCAGTGGGTCCCGGCCTGCTCATAGAGGGCGTGGTTTCCATCCCCTCTCCCCGCTACCAGGTCTTTTGACCTTTCCGTGGTAATAAAGTTGGAACCTAAAGGGTCCCATACCTCCCCCAAGCCTGGTGACCTTGGGCCAGGATCCCCCTCACCTGCTCCAGCGGTGAGCGACTCCCCGCGGTGCTTGCAGCTGTAAGACTGGAGAATCGGCCGAGGGTGGGGGGGGGAGTGGGGGTGGTCGCGCACGCGCCTTGTGCCTGCCACTCAGTCTGACGTTACCAGCATAGGCCAATCCGTGGGATGCAAGGCCGGTGTAAGGGTTAGAGGCGGCGAAGAGGACTTATGTAGGGACCGAGGATAAGCAGGACCTCACCAGAACCTTGGACAGCGCCAACCTAACGAGGACCAAAGCGCACCTCTGCGCGCACGCGCACTCAGGCTCCAGAGTGCAGGTGACGGGACGGGACGTGTTGAGCTGCATGCAGTGCTGGGACCGAGGGGTAACCTGCGAGTACTACAAAGCTCAGTGTTTGTCCTAACCCTCCCCACCCAGCCCCAGCCGGAAGCTCAGGGTAGCGGGGCAGCGGGCAGCAGTGGGGCCAGATCCATAGTTAGGGCAATGCGGTGACCTTGCCAGTGCACATGAGAGGGGACCATGGGTGAGCCAGGCCCATACTCGAAGCAGGTGCTGAGCTCGAAGGCCAGGGCCGAGCGAACTAGGCCCACGCCGCCTGTGCTTGCCGGTGCCGGGTGGTACAGGCGCCCGTTGGCCGCCAGGGGTAGCAAGCGAGCCGGCTCAAAGGGTATGGCCAGTGCCTCGCCGCCTCCGCAGTAGGAGAGGAGAGGATACTCGCTGTCGGTGGCCAGCAGGTGAGTGAAGACCACTGGCCGGTCTTCACAGCGCAGGAAGTTACGCTCTCTGCCACAAAGAGAGAGGAAGGGGAAGGAAGCCTCATAGCGTCCGCTGTGGTTAGGTCTCAGACGGGAGAAGAAAGTGACCAGGAACTGCAGGTCTGTGGGAACAAAAGGCGCGACTGTTCATGCTCAGTGACCAAGCTTCCCAGACGGGCTCCTCTTCCTGGGCACCCCGGCACTGGCATGAGCCTGCCGGGGGCCTTGAGGGTGGGAGCTGCCTGCGGAGGCCTTGAAGAGCGGAGGGAGCAGCGCATCACGAAATACCTTTGAAGCAGGTGATAAAGTTCTTCATTTTGGAGTCATCCAGGAAAAGCTGCAAACAGAAGGGACAATGGACAGTAAGTCCTGAAAAGAAAGCTCAGAACCCAGTGTTGTGTCGCTTTTCTGTATACTGTGTTCATGGGGGGCATGTGGAAGGGCCCTGCAGACTCTCCTGACACGTACACACAGGCTTCCAGCGCTGCAGCCCCCTCTCCCCCTTTCTAAAGCAGGCTTGACTCTGTCTCCAGCAATCGCGAGCTTTCGGCTCTGGGACTGGTGCTAGGAGGCCAGCGTGGGGCGGGACCTAAGAGGCGGCCTCTGGGCCTTCCCGCTTCTAGCAAGGGCTTTGAAAGTGGGGTTCAACACCACGCGTAGCACCATGCCTAGATTTCATCCCTAGAACTCTTCCCCGCCCGAGACCGATTCTGCAGCTCCCTCAGGACTCCTCCCTCTATCACACGCCAGTCACACCTGGCCCTGGTGATCTACGTAGTAGAAATACTCGCGGGTTCTGGGCTCCGGGCTTTGGCCCTGTGTGTAGGAGACACATTCATCCCCACTGCAGGACCGAGCTCGCTGCGACCTTGCCAGAACCAGAGCCAAGGTACGCAGTGACCTGCACGGCGGCCACATCCTTCCTTCCCGGAAACAGGTCATACAGACTGCCCTGCTCCGGGTGCTTCGGGTTCCGCCGGCAGCACGTGTTTGGGGGCGGGGCTCTGTGGTCCGCCCCGGAAAGAGCTCCGCTGCGTGAATCCCCGCCCCCTCCCCGTGTCCGAAGTAACCGGAGGCACAGGCAATCGATCAGAGTGTGCATTTGAACTTTATTCACATGGAGCGCTGTCGCCTCTGTCCAGACTTTGGAGGGAGCGCCTGCGACCGGGCTGCCGGAGAGGTCCAGGACCCGCCCCTGGACTGCGGGCCTCGGCAGGGTGGGCCTTTTTGTTTTTAATAAATAAAAACTCTAAAAATATATTCATATATATATTATATATAAACGAGAGAAATGAAGTTTGACAACTGTTGGAACTCAGATTCCAGAATGGAAAATGCGGACGAGTCCAGGTCGCAACCGCTCACCGCGAGAGTGTAGAGTTTGGTCAGAGGCCGCGAGGTCAAAGGGTGGTGCTAACTTGCTCAGCGCATGGACGGCAATGGCAGTTCAAGAGATAAATAGCATTTGGTTAAAACTATGTCCTTAGCAAACTTAGTTCTGACATCTGTCGTTCTATTTATATCTTTATACACAAGTAGGCTGGGTGCGGGTTAGATTCTGGACTCACACCAAAAACAACCCCCCAAAACAAACAAAACTCTTGCCCTCCCCCACCCGCCCCAAGAACGCCTGATTATCCCCGGCCCCACCCCAGAAGGCTTTGGTGTGGGGCCTCCCCTTGCACAAAGACCTATTAGGAATTGGGCCCACGCACCGTGTCCTAATGGTGGCCAGCACAGCTCTCTCGTGCCTCTAAGTCTCTTTCAGGCTCCTGCCAGAGGCCCCTAGACTAGGGCAAGAGTGCATAGGTGGCAGTCTGCCCTGGAGAGGGGACGAGGTCGTGTTGCCCTGAGCAACGCGGCATGTGCTTCGGCCGACCAGGAGGGCAGTGTCGCTCGGCTCTGGCAAACAGAAGGCACTTCTCCGGGCTGGCCTGCGACTGGCAGGGCGGGCTGGTGCCTGCAGGAACTGGCCGCGAGATAATGGCGCGGCTGCTTTGCCCGGGAGGATCTGGGGCGGGGCAGGGCGGGCGTATGGCGGGGCTTGGCATGCTGCCTCGCTCTCGGGTCTTCCCTCCCACCTCCCTGGGTGTCACCCTAGCCAGTGTCCGTAGAGTGCTATAGTACGCCTTCCATGAAGCTGGTGTCTAGATGCTGAATGAGCACTCGCAGAAAAGACATCTCCTTTCGTGTATTCTCAAAGATGACACGCGGGTCATCCGACTGGCAGCGCAGGCAGTTGGGTGCCATCACCATGGCCAGGTTGCTGACGTCCATTTTGGTGATGGCTACATTGGCTGGCTGCACAAACACCTAAGTGGGGGGAACAGAAAGGGAGAGGAGAGCAGAGTGGAGGGTGGGAGTGGCTACTAAGTGGTTGGCGGGGAAGGTGGATTGGTAAGGGTGAAAGGTGGGCATTGGCATGGCATCGGGTACAGAGCATGCGTACCTGGAGAAAGCGAATGAGGTAGCACAGCACCATACGGTTGATGCGCGGCAGCGCATGCACCACGGCCACTGCAGCTTCCGGGCTCTCGTAGTGCGCGATGCACTGTTCATAGAATTCGTGAGGAATCAAGGGCTCCTCCAACTCCCGATACCACAGCTTCAGCAGCGATGCTGAGGGCGAGAATGGCTTAGATAGTTTTGGCCTAGGGGCCCCCAAGCCAAGGATCCACCAGAGGTCATATCCAGTCATATAGGGTGTGTGCGAGGGTATGGGGCAGGCTAGAAAGGGTCCCCCTGGCCAAAACTCTGGAGACTGAAGCCAGTCTCAGAGATGCTAGCTGCGTCACAGATGGCATCTGGGGTTGATCTGGATGGTGTAGGTGTATGTGTATCCACAATGATTACAAAACAGAATTTCTCAGAAGGGTATGCAGCTGCTGAAGGAGTGAACTGGCTGAAAACGCCCCAAGAGCTGTGGGCTGGGCTGCTCTGGAGGGGCAGAACCGTGGGTAAGTCAAGAACACTGATACGTCCAGTGAGTGGGAAGGCGTCTAGAAGTTATTGGGAGACATCACTTCAGTAAGAGAATTCCTCCGTAGGTAGGTTCCAGGGATAAAAGAGGATGGTGAGATGGAGCCACAGGACAGAGGGATAAGGACATAGGGTGACCGTGGGGTGGATGAGTGGATAGGCACCCTGGCCTGAATGGTGATTATGCATGTAGGCAAACACCTGCCCAGCCCAGCTGTTAAGTATGTTTGAGGCTCACCAGGGACGTGGGGGTCCTCCAGGCCTGTAGGCACCTTCCACTGATCCACTTGCAACTTCAGGGCATTCACCTCATCAATGTCACCAGGGACCCTAGAGAGCATAGGGCAAGTCTCAGACTAGCGGAGAGCATCTTGCCCTAGTCCCGGACTTTGGAGTGGCGGAAAGATTCAAGGGCCCACCAACCTGATTAATTCTCTCATGTAGGGTGGGGATGACTTAGGGCTTTGCTGCTCTTTGGGAGACATCCTGCCCCATGAACTTGGGTCAGTGGTGTGGGATTCTCCTGGGGCCATTCTCCTTTCATGAACTCTGCAGGCTTCTCTGTGCAACTGTCTCCCTCTGCAGGCCACTAAAGTCCAAACTTGCAGCCTTGGCTTCCCTACTTATCCTTTGGGGTCTTGGGCATCCCTGGTCCTGACAGGCAAGTGCCATCCCCACAGCAGGGTCTGTTACATCCTTGTACACACAAGACGATGAACTGGGGATGCTGAGCTGCCTGGCCAGCTGCATGCCATCTCTGAGGCTCTTGTCATAGGTCATGTCCTTGCTAGTATCTAGATTCACTCTGGACTCCTGTTGGCTGTCTCTGGTTGGCCATGCTGCTACTTTGGGAAGTGACACAGCCACCTTGCCTTCTATGGATGGGACACTGTCTTGTCTCTTTTGGATGCAGGACCTCTAGGCTTTTTGGTCCCTGATATTAAAGACAGTGAACACACACCTGTGCTCCATTTCCCTACCCACAATCTAGGGCTGGCAAAGCACCTGAAGATGCCCTCTGTCTGGTCACCATTGAGAGCTAGCACCTCCTCGGAGAGCCGTGTCTGAACCCAGGGCAGCTGCCTGTCAGGATAGCGCTCTTTCTGCATGCTCATCACCTCCTGCAGTGCACTACCAAACATGGATGGGCTGAACACCGCATTCTTGGCATGTCGTATTTCCTCCACATTAGGTTTCTTTAGGCCCTGTGAAAATAGCCCAGCATTCAGGTCCTGTTGTAGTCCAGCTTCCTCCTTTTATCTCTTCTCCCTAAATCTGGGCCATGGCCCAACAAGAACCAGGGACAACCCAGACTCCAAGTCACTAAAGGAGTCTCCCATCAGACCATCTGTAACATCCAAAACCACAAATATGCAGAAAGGTAGAGAGGTGAGGGTCCCCATCACAGGCTTGCATCTGGCAATGCCTGTTTCTTGCACCTCACTATGCCAGTTGGAGTTCTTAGGGGGAAGTGTAGCCAGGGCGCTATTCCCAGGCTCTTGGAGACTGGGTATGGCCAAGTGGATAGAGCACCTTACTCAGGTAGGTTACCTGCTGCCCTGTCTAGTATGTGTACTCATGCAGAGCTCCTCAGCTAGAGGCCCGGGCACAGTCAGGGGCCTGGGGAGAGAATGAGACTGGAAGCACAGGTTTTCCTAGCCAGTCACCAACAGGCTAGGGCACTCTGCCAGCCAATGCTCTCCACAGCCTCAATGTCCCTCCATCAGGCTTCTGTGTGTACTGCAGGTGACTCATTTGCCCTACCCTGCTTCTCCCAGAAGCATTTGTACCTTCTTGGCCCCAGTCAGGGCTGCCTTCTGCAGTTTGTGGTAACAGTACTTCGCATAGGTGCTTATTGCCACCCCTGGAAGAGAAAGGGTGTCAGTCAGTCTGATGTGGACATGTGGGATGTGGGCGCCTTTCACCCACCCCTGAGCTTCGCAATAACTCATACTCTCTGAAGCACAGTCCTTTAGGGCAGAGACCCAAGAGGAGAGGCAAGGGGCACCTCCCCCACCTCTAGGAACTAGGGTAGAAATCCTGTTAGCCTTCATATAGCCACCTAGGAAAAACAAGTTGGGAACAAACCTGCTTCCCTGGAGGGAGTCATAGGTAAGAAAGAGCACACCCTGGGCCCAAGGCCTTCAAACCCTACTTAACTCCCTTTCCTCCTTAGGTGACCCTAGCAAGACCTTTGGTCCTACCTGGTCCCAGGGAAAGAGGCTTCTAGATGAAGCATTTGTTGCTTTTGGCCAGCACTGGGGCAAAGGCAGTTTTCCAGCAGCCCTGGCCTCCTTAGGGAGGGAGTGAAGTTGGGGACAGAGTGTCAGGGAGAGAGTGGCCAAGGGTTGGCTCTTAGAGAAAGATAGCTTGTAGAAGATGCTACTGTTCTGTACCAGCACCCTTATCTAACCCGAGAGTAAGCTGAAGGCATGGCTTTGTCTTGCAAGGTAGGGAGGGAGCTTTCTGGGACTCACTCCCTGCAGCAGAACAAGTGGGGAACTCACCCCTGCAGCAGAGATAGTGGCACTGGGGGACTGGCAGATAGATACAAAGGCCTGCTATGGATGGAAGACGATATCAGGTGTCATCCACCTGGTCCCAGCAAAAAAGGAGGGAACAGATGATGGAATATGCCAGGAGGTGTCATGGACAGATCAGCCACTAGTTACATGCTTCTGGAAAATGGACACTCCTCCCTTGGAAGGTCCTGCTTCTGTGACCCCCAGATTACTACCTGCTGGGGTCAATGAATCCTGTGATTGGGAGTACCTTTGCCTTTAAAAGGAGACAATTTTTTTATGGATATATATTTACTTATCCCATATGTATTTTTTGGCCCATGAGAATCCTTTATCAAAAAAGTTTTATTCACATCTGTAAAGTGATTCTTTTCTATCCAAAATAATTATAAATTTTTTTAGACATTTAAGTTTTGGAGAATCTGCCCCAGGCCCCCAAGTGATCCACAGACCCTGGGAGAAGTCTGCAGCTTCTACCTCAGGCCATCCTGCCCTTCAGGGTGTCTTATAATGATGGAGAGTGCTTAAGTGTGTCCCCACTGCCCTGGCTCAGCTCAGCAGATGAGGTCTGAGAGTAATGGAGGGACAAGCCTGTTGCCTCGAGGCTATTCTGCCCACTTAGTCCTCCCAGAGGGAAAACATCTCATCTTGCTCAGGACCAGAATAACCCTACTTCAACCACTTCTCAGATGGTAGTGAGCATGAAAGTTCTCTATGCTTCAGTTTTTCTATAGGAGACTGAGATAACACCTGTCTCCTAGGTGCCTGAGAATGGTTGTGCTGATGTTATGGCGGTAGCAGACAGACCAGGACTGAGGCTGGGGCCACGTGTGCCTGGGGTCTAGGAAGTGGTAGTGACTTCTCTGTGCTGAGTGTCTAGAGCAGATCAGGCAGTGTCACTGCCATCTCAGAGACCTTTACTTGTGAGAGGTCTGCTCTGGGCCCCCAATCTAGCCTTTGTTGAATCTTGGCTAGAACCTCTACCAGGCTGCAGGTAAACAGTTTTATGTGTGAGGAACAGCTTACCATAGACTTGGAGGAGCAGCATTCCAGGGTTCTTACTATTGTAGCAGGGGTCTGGGTAGGCTATAAGCCTCAAAGACTGCTGGGTGTGCCCAAGGTTTATTGTGTTTGCTGTTGCTTACTCTGCATGGTCCAGGGAAGGAATGCTCCTGGATTCTCTAATTGAATAATCTGAGCTTCAAGGCTCTGCCCAGTTCTGTTCCAAGTTCCACAGGAACTTGACCCCTACATTGTTGGTCCGAACTCATAGATGGTTGATATCCATGCAGCTCCTATGCCCCCAGTTGTTAGGTGAGCTGGGCCTCATAACTCTTTCTACTACTATCCCCAAGAGCAGCCTGAGCACAGGCTGCTAGGGAAGCCTGGGGAATCCTGAGCAAGGACAAATTTCCAGCCCTGCAGATGTCATCCTGGCCTAGCCTGCAAAGCTCACCATGCTCTGCAGCTTCCTGCTGGCCCATTGTTCCAAGCAATGTTCATCTACAGAAAGCTCCCAAACCTTGTCCCTCAATTCTAGTGGGTGGCACACAATAGGCAAGAGCTTTATGAAGAAGAGTAGAGCAAAGAGCAGGAGATGGGCTTTCAAACACTCAATTGTAGCCTGGTGGAAGCAGCTCCATACAAAGCTGGTGCAGGAAGGCCAGAGCTGCCTTGAGAGTTCTAGATAGGGAGGTCACAGAGTGGTCCTGAGACAGGGCTTGGGAAGTGTGAGGATGTTGGTGGAAGAAGGCAGACTTCAGAAGGCTTTGCTGGGGCCACCATGGGAGAGGGAAGATCCCCTGACCATATTAGGGTGGGCTCTCCTGCCCCCAAGAGGCACTAGGCTAGAGGACAGGGCTAGGGAGGAACTTGCCACAGGACAACCATCTCCTGTGAGCCTCACCCCAGCATCAGGCCCATTCACTCACCTGAGGAGTGATTCCAGGCCTTCACAGGTTAGTCCACCAAGAAGCAAGCTGTGGATAGTCCAGAAGAGGTGCAGGGCACGCACCATTTCTTTAGGGGTCATTTTAGCACCCTAGACCTTCAGTTTTTGCTTGCTTGGGAGTCCCCAAGCCTGAGGTTAGTGTCCCTCCCCCAGCCCAGAAGCGGTTAGAGAGAAGGCCAGGCGGCCATGGCTGGAGAGCAGAGCGGTGCAGAGGCAGCGCCCAGGTGCAGAGGCCCTACCATCTGGCTCTTCAACATAAGGCTTGGGTTTCTTTCTCAGTTTGGACTTCTTCTTACTGTTCCTCTCCAGAAGCTCTTTTATGTGCTGTGTCACTGGGGAGTAAACAGAACCGTGAGGACCACTGCACACAAGCCAGAACCACTGTCCATGTGGTTCCTACACTTGGTGGCAAGAAGGCCTCTGGGCCTGCTGGGGTCTGTCCCCATCAAGCTGATGGCCACATGTCTGTACACACAGGTCAGTGGTGTAAGGTGCTGGGACCTTTCTGGAGTTACACGACTGGAGGCCTAAGGTGAATGGGAAGGTACAGGACTACACTGGTGACTGGGAGATATGACGGGTTGGTACAGTGCAACTGGCTCACACTTCTCTGGCTGATACAGAGTTTGAACCTGAGCTGCTGTTTGGTCCACAGACCCACCAGCTATAGAGCCAACAGAAATGGGTGAGTAGTAGTGACTGGACTGACACATGGCTGAGGTCATGCCTGTGAAACTACCCCCCCCCCCACCATATCTCTTTGGAAGTCAGTCATGAGGAAGGAATGTGATATTTTATACTTTGGTTTAAGCTTTGTCACTGGGAAGTTTTCAGTTGGCTCAAGTTCTGAACAGCTCCCATTACTCCTCCCCCTATGCCTCTGTTGTCAATATTGGTGACTGAACACAAGCTAGGCAGGAACTCTAACACTGAGTGATAGGTCTGGCCTTCTTTTACTTGGTTTTATTTTTTGAGACAGGGTTTATTTGTGTGTGTGCCACCACTGCCCAGCCTTTTCCTTTTTTCCTTCTTTCCTTCCTTGTTTGGTTTTTCAAGACAGGGCTTCTCTGTGTAGCCCTGGTTGTCTTGAAATTCACTCTGTAGACCAGGCTAGCCTCGAACTCAGAAATCCAACTGCCTCTGCCCTCTGAGTGCTGGTATTAATGGCATGTGCCACCACCATCTGGCCTCCTACTTTTTGAGGCATGATCATATTTAAGTTGGTACAGCTTCTTGAACTCTTGATTTTTGCCTTAGCATTCTGAAAGTAGCTGATCTAAGACTACACTACCAGGTATGGCTATACTTACTTTTTATTTATTTTGGGTGCTGGGACTGAACCCACAGCTTTGTGAATACCAGTCAGTTGTTTTGCACTGATCTATAACTTCAGCCCTTTAATTTTTGAGGTCTTGAAATTTTGAGCCCTTGTTGTCTAGCTCAGGGCTTACCTCAAACTCAAGATCCTCCAGCCTCAAGCCTTCTCTCTCTCTGCTGAGATTACAGACATGTGCCAGCACCCCAGCCACCTTTGACACATCTTCTACATTCCCCACACCAGGATGAAATAAGCCTTTTTTTTTTTTTTTTTTTCTTTTCTTTTAAGTAGTAGTTTTTTTTTCCCCTTAAATTTCCTTTTTTTTTTTTTTTTTTTTTTTTTAAGCTTTGGAGCCCGTCCTGGAACTTGCTTTGTATACCACGATGGCCTCAAACTCACAGAGATCAGCCTGTCTCTGCTTCCTGAGTGCTGGGACTAAAGGAGTGTGCCACCATGCCTGTCTGGATTATGACCCATTTTGAATTAATTTTTCATACAGTACAAAATGAAGGTTGAGGTTAATTTCTTTTATGTTTGAAAGTCCAGTTTTGGGGCTGGAGAGATGGCTCAGTGGTTAAGAACACTGCCTGCTCTTTCAAAGGTCCTGAGTTCAATTCCCAGCAACCACATGGTGATTTATATCTGTAATGAAATCTGATGCCTCCTTCTGGCATGCAGGTCTACATGCAGGCAAGCAGAACACTATAAGTATAATAAATAAATCTTAAAAAAAAAAAAAAAAAGCAAAGTCCAGTTTTTCTCAACACCATTCAAGAAAGATCTCCCTTTATTCACTAACTAACACTTCCAACTCTGAGGAAAACTGGCTTGCTTTTGAGTGGGACTGTTTCTGGGACCCTTGTCTCTTGTAGATTACGATCTCGAAGACCAGACTTGATTGCTCCAGATCTGTAACAAACTAGTGGTGGGAGGTCCTCCAACACGTTCTTCTTCTCTAATTAGTTTCAGAGACATAGTCTATTATCAGTATGACAGGGAGCATGACGATGCTTTCCTTTTAAGAGTTGCCTTGGTCATGGTGTCTCTTCTCTAATTTTAAAGACTTCTTTTTTCTTTTTTTTTTGAAGAGGGGTGTGTGTGTGTGGTGAATGTTCAAGTTGGTGTGAGTGAGTGTCCACAGAGGCCAGAGGCAAGAAGCATCAGATCCCTGGAACTGGAGTTAGAGTTGGTTATGAGCCACCAAATATGGATGCTGGGAATTGAACTTGGGTATTCTTAACTATGGAGTCACCTTTCCAGACCTTGATTATGTTTTGTTGTGGTTTTTGAGAATGTATTTTGCCATGTAGCTTTTAACTATGTTAGGGTCATTATGTTGACCTTAAATTCGTGATTCTCCTGTCTTAGCCTTCCAAATGCTGAAGTTTATAGGCATGTACCATCATAGACAGTTTTTGCCATCTTTAGCTAGACACTGGAAAAGTCTTTCTTAAAAATATGGAGTAACAGGGGCTGGAGATATGGTTCAGAGGTTAGGAGAACTGGCTGTTCTTTCAAAGGACCCAGGTTCAATTCCTAGCACCCACATGGTAGCTTACAAGTGTCTATAACCCAGTTCCAGGAGATCCAGTATAGATCACATAGACAAAACACCAATGCACATACAATTAAAATAAATAAATGACTTTAAAAAATATGGAGTAGCAGCCTGGTGGTGGTGGCACATGACTTTAATCCCAGCACTCTCCGAGGCACAGGCAGAATCTCTGAGTTCAAGGTCAGCCTGGTCTGAGTTCCAGATGGCTAAGGCTACTCAGAGAAACTACGCCTTAAAAAACCGGCAGGGTGGAGGTTGGGGGGGAGTTCAAGTCTGTCTCTGCCTCCTAAGTGCTGGCATTGTAGGTGCTTGGCTAGAATCCATGTTCTTGAACAATGCTGTTCATGCCTGTTGAAAAAGGGATGACCAGCTTGTATATAGAGGTCTTTTCCAGGCTTCAGGCCAAGGCTACACACAGACAAACTTGAAGCAACTCAGGGATGGAGAAGAAAGTTTTGACAGCGAGAGCAACCCAGGCCCCATAGCCTGGGTCCAAGCCACTGGTTGGCTGGTAACCATTCAGAGTCCAGAGGTAAAGTTTTATGGGCCTTATATGGGGTGCTGTCAAGCTCCAGCCCCCAGACTAAATCCATTTCCTTCCCTTGTGTAAGCCAAGACACTATGGGTATAACACACTAGGAAAGACACATCCCCAGGCACTTCTGTGTGAAGGGTAGCATCACAGGAGGCCCACAGAAATAGCCCAGTTACATTCTTCCTGCCTAGATGACCTAGGGATTCCTAGGCCTCTGATCATCTCCCAAGTCTTCATTTGCTCACTAACTCACTCAAGTATACTCTTGTGGTGTACTGTGGGTTTCATACTGTGCTAGGCAGTGGAGACACATTTTCATAGCTATAGCTCAAATAAATTAGAAGGCCCCTTAGAAGAAGACAAGGAAGTGATCTATGAAAACAAAACACAGCTCCCAGGATTTCTCCTACTCTTAGAAAGGTTTAAGAAGAGCAAAGAGTAGTCCCAAGCTACTTTTGGGCCTCAGTGTACATAGACCATGTGCAAGGCTATACATCTGCCAGTACCTATACCAAAAATGGCATGCCTGGGGCAGAAATCACATGGATTCAAAAATTCACTCACAAGGGGTTGCAATACTACACAGTCCCTATGCTTTGCATATTTTCTCTAGGAGCCTGCTCAAGCCAGGCAGCTTCTACCCTGTCCTCATGTGTACACACTGACTCCACAACGTTGTGAAAACTGCTTTCCCAGTTACTTGCTAGGGACAAGGCCTAGAGGCCCTGAACAGGACCTCAGTTTCTGGCCCAAGATAGACTCCTTTCCTCTCAAGGAGTAATGTATAGTTTTGTGTGACCTAGCTTGCAAGTATGTACACCATGTACATCCAGACATCAGCTCTGTGGCTATATTAAACAGGCACAAACTTACAACTGTTGAGGTGGAAGATGGCCATACAGCTACCTATGATCTGCTATATGCCCACTTCTAGCTAGCCCAGGGTTCAGGCCAACCACCCAGCTGATAGAACTATGGCATATCTCTGTGGGCCTTGTACTTGGCCCTAGGCAGCCATGTGATCTGTGATAGTACCACGTTCGGATCTCACAGGGTGACTCAGCTGATAATGCCCACTAGCTGGTTGAATTCATAGACAGATTATTTATGGGTTAGTTTGGTGATATGTCCTGGTCACCACAGTTTTCCTTGCTTAGACATTTGGCATAGACCCCACACAGAAGACGGCCTGAGCCTCTGTGGGCACCTTCTCTTACCACAGGATAACAAAACTAAGTGTAACAAGGGTAGAGTAGCTTAACATTGCCTGGCCCTAGTCATGGTAGGTTTGGGGCAGAGTGGATACACACGACTAACTGTCTGTCCTTCTTTCTGCCAGGCCTGCCTAAGCTCTTTTCAGAATTCAGATAGGATTTTCTGAAGATGCCCAGAAGCCAGAGGAAACAGGGACCTAGGGTCTCCCAGGGGACTGTATAGCTTCTTGGAACTGGTTAGTGTTACCTAGCATGGCTAGGAGCCCTCTCCACAGTCCTTACCTCAGCAGCAGCAAAGCAGGGGTGCTGAGGATCCCATGTGTTGGGCCTTACCTTTGGTGTCATTAACGGGGTCCATATGCCGGTAGATATAGCCCTCTAGGTAGGAGTGGAACTTGGGGGTAGGTGGGAAGAAGGCCAGGCAGATGGCCATGAGCTCCCAGCCACGGGCCAGGCTCTCCAGGCGGAAGTTCTCTGTGGTTTGTCGGCATAGCTGGATATATAGCTCATCTCGTAGGCCCTGTGCACTCCAGCCTTTGGTGGCAATCTCCAGGGCCACGTGCAGTGGGTCTGCCTTGGCCCGTCTGTCACCCATGTACATTTGGATCAGCTTGAAGATCTCACAGGCCTCTTTCTTCACGTGCCGGTCACTGGTCACAATCATGGGCTTCTTGATTGATTCGCTACTCCAGGCCAACATGTTGGCTATGGACACCTTTCGCCGGAAGAGACCCTGGGTGTGCTTGTTGAAGTGCTTGGAGGCCCAGTTCTCGATGTCAGTCTCCGAGGAGGGCTTGCGCAGTGTGAACGTGGGGAAGACACAGTTGGAGCTGGGCACTGCACTGCGGTTCTGCCGGCTGCTCTCAAACTGCGCACAGGCACCAAGGTCCTCAGACTGGGAAGGACAAATGGGACTGGGACATCAGAGGGTACGCTGGGCAGAAATACGCCCAGCTGGTCTATAGCCCTAAGAGGAGTGAGCCAGTCAGCCAGCCAGGTGAGACTCAGCTTGCTCAGCAGACATGATCAAGAGGCTGAGGACAGAGTAATAGCCTTGGTCTTTGTTCTCAGGAAACCTGACTGTGGGCAAGGGAGGTACATCTTGGATAAGGATGCCACCTCATCTTGATACCTTTAAGGAAGGGTAGCATCTGCCTCTTATAGGCAAAGCTATCAAGCTGCCAACTCTATTCCCACCTCTGTATGACCCTGTGGCCATAGTTCTGGTCAGGGTTGGAGGACCTGGCTCTTTTATCACTTGTCTGGCGCTTGACCCTGTAGGTCCCTCCCTCTGCTTCTATAACCAGAGCCCCTTCTCTTATTAAGGGTAGCTTTGTCTCTGATTATTCTGTTTTCCACAGCCTATAGGTCTCTAAAGCTTTATGGGGACCCAAAACAGCTGCTGCACAGAATTCACTGAACCTTCCCCAGTGGTTACAGATGAACCTGACACACCATCTGAAGGGAAGCCTCTGGATTCTAACTCCACCCTCTGTGGGCTCCAGTGCTACTGGGCAGGTGCAGCACAGAGTGAAAATATCAGTGCCAGGATTTCAAAGGGCAGACCTGTGGAAATATACACTCAGGCCTTCACATGGTATCCTACAGTTGTGCTGTCACTGACAACTGGGACACGGGGCCTGAGACTCAGGCTGTAAAAGTTTCCACTGTCACACTCATGCCAGGGATACTGAGGCCCATTCTGCCCTGTGCTGCCCTTGTGTCTGGTGGGCCCAGAGCTCCCGTCCACCCTCCCTGTGCCCTCACCTGTGAGGGGTGGAGGTAAGGCTCCGGTGAGGCCAGGTTGGTCTGTACAGAGATGCTTTTCTCCAGCAGAATCTGAGGGAAGCCAAGCTTTTCAAAGGTGCCCCGCTTCCAGTGCTTGCTGTCCTGCTGTGCTAATGCCTCATCCTCACTGAACGCTCGTACCACAGGCCCAGGCATAGGCAGTGGGACAGCACCGTCACTCTCATACCCTGAGCCATCTTGTTGGGAGTCCCAGCTGCTCCTCTGCTTCATGTGGAAGTGCGCTTGCTGTGCTTCCCAGGCCAGCCGGGCCGGTGCCAGGAAGGGCTCAGGTGTGCCTCGCACTAGGTCTGCCTCGGCCTTTATTGGGGTGAGGCTGGACCTGCATAGAGAATGCTCTTCAGTTAAAGGCTGCTCTCCTAGCAGGTCCCCAGGACCGTCAGTGGATGATGTGCTAGGGACTTGGCACAGAGAGGGCTTTCTGTTCTTCCTCTTGCGAGTGCCTGGAGAGTAGCTTGTGGAAGACATGGTGTCCTGCTGACTGGACCAGGACATGGCATCCTCCTGGGCTTGGGGCAGTAGTGTGGGTGGTTGGCTTGGGCGTGATTCAGGCCCTTCCATTGTGCTGTAGTCTCCAGACCTGACCCCCAGGCGCTGGTCTCTTAGCAGACAGGGGCTGGGCTGCAGGGAGTAGGTGCCACCACCTGGGTTGGGTGCATACTTATGCCTGGGCCCAGCTCTAAGCTTGGGGCTGGAGCCTGCTTGCTCCACATACACCAGCTGCCGTACATACTCCTTGCCCACAGGACTATATTCCAGGCTCAGAAAGCGCTCTGGGCACTTCTGCTTGGTGCGCATCAGCTGCTGACAAGGTGACGTTGGGGTCTGTTTAGTAGTTTGCAGGAATGGGTGGGGCTTTCGGCCTGGTGACCGCTGTGGTGAGCCAGTCTGGTAGGGGCTGTTGGCTTCAAACTGTACATCCATGGGGGGCTCATCATAAATGGGGGCTTGGTATTCCACTGGAGGCTCCTCATAGAGTGGGGGCTCATAACCATAGCGCGGGGACGAGGGCTGTGAGTCACCGGAGGGCTTTCGGGGCTGCACCAATAGCGGTGAACAGTTTCCAGAGAGATCAGCCCTCCTTAGGAAAGGTGAGGACCGCCTCTCTGGAAAGAAGACATTGCCATCAGTGTCAGGGACAAAGGTCTGCAGGCTAGGTGAATGCTGGCTGCCAGAGGGTTTGCGGTGATGCTCCCCTGGCTGGCTGTCTGAGGGATAGCTATTGCCTTGGGGAGCGAGGAAGCTGGGTTCACGGTCAGCAACCTTGATGAGCATGCGTTCCTTGTTACCAGAGTTCCAGCGCAGCGAGGAGGTCCTGTGTGGAGAGTGACACCCAGTTATTGGCAGAGTTAAGTCCAGCCCCACCATCCAGCCTGAGAGTTTCCCAGCATCGTCCTCATCCTCAGGTCCTTTTGGTATGATCTTGTGCTCTTTCTGGAGCTCTTCCACCTCAGAGCTGTTTCTTGCTTAGTCTAGTACCAGGCAGAGAGATGCTCCTGGAGGTGCCAGTCAATGGCTCAGGTATCAGGAGAGCCCAGCACTATGTCATATGAGCACCCCAGGGCCCAGTTTCAAGCTTTCCCTTGTTTTGGTTCCCCAATCACCATTTTCACCTTGACAGAAACGTACTTGTTTCCCTCTTGGCTCCCTACTAACATCTGCATCAGATCAAGGGCGCTCACAAATGTCCCAGTGCTTCTCTCAACCCTGGTCCCTCACCAGAGAGGTCACATTGGATATCTGGCATCTTCTGCATGTCTTTTGCTTACTGACAAAATGGATGGCACTGCCCCTAGAAACATCAGACACAATGTTTATGTATGTCCTTTCCCACAGACTGAGGTCAGAAAGGGCCCTGTGTCTCATGGCTATGCTTGAAGTACCAAGAAGCTGGACACAGAACAGTGTTTCAACAAAGATGTTCCTGTTCTTTTCCCAGACTGCTGAGTTGAGACCCTCTGACCAGGATTTCTAGCACCTTTTAAATTTGGTTGGATAATCTTGCATGATCTTTGGAAAACTAGCTATTGTGATTTTAAATATCATGTTTATTTCTTCTCTTCTGGGACTTCAGTTACAATTCACTGTGTACCTTACTGTTCATATTCTCTTTATCCTTCAGCTTTTCTTCTCATCTGTCTTCTGTTTACTAGTGTTCTACTTACTTAACTATGCTGTTTGTATGTCTATGTCTGGTTTTGGATTTGAGATCCTCCTGTCTGTACCTCAAATACTGAGATTAGAGGTGTATGCTACCACACTCACCTTAATCTATTTTTTTTATGTATATGGATGATTTGTCTACATATTGTGTGTACATTTATCTGTACATCATGTGCATGCAGTGCCCATCAGGGCCAAAAGAGGGCAGCAGATCCTCTAGAACTGGAGTTTCAGACCCTGGTTAATCACCATCCAGGTACTGAGAACTGAACCTAGATCCTCAGGGAATAGCAGTCAGTGCTCTTAACGTTAACACGGAGCCCCATCTCTCCAGTATCAAGATTAATCTGCTTAAAAACCACCATTTTGGAGCTGGAGAGATGGCTTAGTGATTAAAAGAGTACTGGCTGCACTACTAAAGGACCTGGGTTCAATTCCTAGCACCCACATGGCAGTTCATAACTGTCTGTAACTCCGTTCCAGGGGATTCACTGACCTTTTTTGGTATCTGCAGGTACCAATCATATATATGGTGCAGATACATGTATGCAGGCAAAACACTCATATATAAAAAAGCAAAACAAAACACTGTTTTTGTCCATTCAGAGTACTATAACAAAGTGCTGAAGGCTGGGTAGATTAAAAACAGATATTTAGGCTGGGTGTGGGAGATCACATAATATCCATCCATTCACCTGGACATAGTGAGTTCCAGGTCAGCAGGTCTACATCGTGGGATTCTGTCCCGAAAAATAAAGAAAAATACCATAGGTATGGAGATGTAGCTCAGTGAAAAGCACTTGCTCAGTATGCATATAGTTCTAGGTGTGATTCCCACCAACTCTTCCCCAACAAACGCAGCAGATGAAATCCATGACATCAGACATGCATCTCTATACCTGAAACTATTATTTTTTATTTCATATGCATGGATGTTTTACCCAAATGTATATCTGTATACATGTACATTCATGTCCGAGGAGACCAGAAGACAGAATTGGGTCTCCTAGAACTGGAGTTACAGACAGTTGTGGGCCTCTATGTTGGTGCTGGTAATTGAACCCAGGTCTTCTAGAAAAAGAGCAAGTGTTCTCAACCATTGAATTACCTCTTCAGCCCCTGATGTTTTAGACTGACTTAAATCTTTGTAATTTAACATCACCATCATCATCATCATCACTATTTTGAAATGGGGTCTCTCTTTGTAGCCCTGCTTGTCTCAGAATTTGTTGTTTAAACTATGCTATAGCCTGGCCTCAAATGCACAGACATCTGCCCATCTCTGCCTCCTTTATGCTGGGATCAAAGTTGTGAGCCCCCACTTCTGGCTTTTCATAATTTCTTTGGGTACATCTTTGATATCCAGCATAAGTTAACTTCCTCCTGTGGCAGTCTAGTAGTAAGGATTGGATTTATGGTAAATCTTCACCCTAGAATGCTGGAGCGTACTGTATGAGCATGCTACTGACAGTCAAACCATGGGAAAGGAAACTCATACAGTGAGGTGACAAGTTGGTCTTCCCCTACTGTTTTCTGTTCTGACACAATTTTCTCCCCTCCCTTTCTTCCTTTAAGACAAGATTTCATGTAGCCCAGGCTAGCCTCAAAGTTGCTATGTAGCTGAGATGACATCATCATCCTGCTTCCACCTCCTAAGTGCTCAGAAGATAGGTCTGTACCACTGTACCAACTTATTATCAAAATTATAAGAAGTAGTTAAGGACCTTGACAGCAGCACAGCCCCATGTATAATAATGTCCATCCATTCACCTGCCAGAAACACATGAGCCTTATCTCCTTCAAATACATTTTTTAAAGTCTTCACTCTCAGATGAAAAAATGTTGGAATTGTGACAATAAGTGGGTGCCAGTCTGCCACAGTCACTTCTTCAACCACTTCACCAAAAGCTCTTCATTTCTTGAGCTACTTTCCTTTTCCAAAGAGTTACTGCAGAGATCAGTCAGAGAGGACCATTGAGAAGGCGGCTCAAATTTCTAGGTCTGTTTCAGTTGATCCCAGGTGAACTGACATGTGGTAATAAAGCACTCAGCACTGTCACACAAATCAGGCCTGGGTGAGACTGCCTTGCTTTGGCCCACACCTGTCTGTGCACATTTCCTCAGGGTGCTCAGTCATCTGCTGGAGGTGCTGCCTCTGCCTTTCTCCCACAGTGAAGTGGTGTAAACATGGGTGTTTTGCCTCCCCTTCCCTCTCCTATGCCTCAGGAAATAAAAGGAGGAATCACACATACCCATCCAAGCTGGGAGAAATACGACACTAGGCCCTCCAGCTCTCCCTTTTATAATTGCCACTTAATATGCTACACATATTATATTATTCATTAGTCACTTTCTGGTAACTCCAAAACGTATACAGAATGATTGGTTTACATTTATTATTTTAAATATTTATTTTTATTTTATGTGTATGAGTGTCTTGTCTGCATATATGTATGTGCACCATATGTGTGTAGAACCTGTGGAGAATAGACAAGGTGTCAGAGTCCCCTATAACTGGAGTTGTGAGCTGCTATGTCGGTTCTCTTGGCCCTCTGCAAGAGCAGCAAGTGCTCTCAACTGCTAAGCCATCTCTCCAGCCTCTTTTATTCTAAATATTTTTCTAGTTTGTATTTAAGAATTTCATCTATGAGTACTGTATTTACATAATTTTCATTCCTCACTTTCCCCTTACAAGCAGGTGTCGCCAGATTCATGACCTGTCTTTCAATTATTGTTTCTCAGCAGCAATTAATTGCCTGTAAGTTCTTTGTGCTGGTTGGTTGCTGGTTGTTTTTTTTTTTTTTTTTTTTTTTTTTTTTTTTTTTTTTGTCATTTTGGCACAAACTAGGTTCATCTGAGAAGAGGGAATATTAATTGAGAAAATATCTCCATTAGACTGGCTGGTAGACAAGTCTGTGAGAACATTTTCTTGATTAATGACTGATATAGAGGGCCTAGCCCACTGCAGGCAGGGTCAAGGTCAACCCTGGGCAGGTAATCCTGGGAACTATAAGGAGGCCAAACTGGAGCAAGCCAGTAAGCACTGCAATTAATTGATCTTTTTGCATTCTGACTCACTGTAAATTTCTGTAATAGTCTCCATCTACTGAAAAAAAAAAAAAAAAAGTTTCTTTGAAGGGTGTGGTGGCACATGGCTTTAAATCCAGGCAGGAGGAACTCTGTTAGTTCAAGTCTAGCATGGTCTACATAGAGAATTTCAGGCCAGCAAAGGTTACATGGTGAAACTCCATTAAAAAAAAAAAAACCCAAACAAACAAACAAAAAACAAACAAACAAAAAAAGAAGTTTCTTTGATGAGGGTGAGAGCTACACTTACCTGTGTGTGTGCAGTACTTTGAAATTACACTGGTTTAGAAAAGTGGCAGTAGTAGGTTTTCTTCTAGGGTCCCTGACCAGGTTAACAGTACCAGGCATAAATTCCCTACTATGAGCAGGCCTTAGGTCTAATTAGATGGCAGTTGGTTACCCTAAGATATAAGTTCCACTATTACAGCACTGGGGATCCACTGCCAGGCTGACTATTTTCCTCCCTTGGCAGCCTGCATAGCACTTTTGGATTCTGAGAGTCGTCATCAGGAAGAAGGCTTCCATTGTCCAGGCCTCCTCTTTACCAGCATGGGTTGGCCCTCAGGGATCTCACTGCTGTTTTGGCATAGACCTCTGGGAGCACCTGTATTTCTCTGCTTGGCTTAGCCCTGCCTTTGACCCTAAGGAAGCTAGGCTTGCTCCTAAACAGATTCCTCCTTTGCAGACCCCAGTCTCTTGTTGCTTCTACACCAGTTCAGTCTATGATTATGGTTTTTCTACCCCAAAGGCTGAACTCAGTGTGCGCCTACCTTTTCAATGCCATACTTGAATGCACATGTTGTAAATGGATATTGGGCCTGTAAGATGCCAGCCCTTCACACTGTTCCCATATTCTGCTAACCTTCCTTTCTAGATCTTTTTCAGAACAGCTGTTTCTCTCTCCCTGTGTTCCCCTTTCTCTGCTACTTCTCTTCTTCATAAGAAACCCAAGGCTGGTCCTCAGGATGAGTATCAGAAAGACAAGACTGAGGTGCTAGGCAGCAAGCAGGACAGTGGCACACACTGGGTACTTCTAAATGCAACTACAATTCCTAGGCCAGGAGCAAGTTTTCTGTATCTGGGAAGCAGAAAATACTGTATTTGCTTTCTCTTGAACTGTGGAGCAGTTTCACTGCCTTGGAGGTTGGTCAACTCTGACCAACTTTTTGATTTGTTTCACAAGTGCTTTGATTTCTTGCCATTCTAGATAATATGCTGATCTGTGCCGTGCAGGGCAACTTGTGAGAGGAAGTACTGGGCTCCCTCAGTCACAGGTAGGGATTCTGCAGCCAGAGTGCAGCACAGCTGGCTCCTGTCTTCTGTAGCAACCCTTGCTGCAGGGGGTCAGGGTTGGTACCAGCTGGGTCACTGGTTATGTTCTTTCACTGCCCAGCCATGTGGGGTGATACATTACCCAGGAGGAAGCCTTTCTCAGGAGAACTCACCAGCCAGGAATCATTTGGACCTTCTAGAACTGAGTGGTTCTGCCCATACCTGTATGTGGTATAGGCTCCAAGGACAGCAAATTCCCTTTCTCTGTAGCCAAAATGATCACATGAGGGTGACACTCCCTCTGGAAGTACACAGGCAGCAGTGTCAGCAAAGAGGACCGAGTGCATTTCTGGATGAGGTCTGACCCTTTTTCGAGACTTCTTTTTTTGTTTTGTTTTGTTTGTTTTTTGAGACAGGGCTTCTCTGTATTGTTTTGGAACCTGTCCTGGAACTCACAGAGATCCGCCTGCCTCTGCTTCTCGAGTGCTGGGATTAAAGGCGTGCACCAACACTGCCTGGCTCTAGGGCTCTTGTGATCTCACCTCTTCTCCACATGTCACTGGTGTTTGTGCCAAGGTCTCAGTGACGGGGCAACAATGACAGTGTGGTTTCTCCTTGTTGGCATTCATATTATTCCATCACTCTCTTAGAATAGGGATAACTTGGTCTGGTAGCCACAGCAATGAAATAAGTAGAACAATACAGTGACAGGTTGATATATGGGAATGGTAGGGTTTTGTTTTTGTTTTTTGTTTTTTTTTGAGATAGTTTCATGTCCATATGGGTCTATTAATACCACCTAGTAGGAAGAAAGGGAAGAGTCATAGTATTCTGACCTGTAATTCCAACCATCCCTCTTGTTGCTCTTTTGTTTGCCCCTCCTACTGCAAGGGATCTTGGGAAATGTTGAGATATATAGAGGTGGTCTCAATGATGCAGCTTCCATGAGGTCATCATGCATGATGTGGTAGGATTTTGCAGTGATGCAGATGTTCTGCCTATTTTATATTCCTGTAAGCAAGCCCAATAAACTGACATGTTCACTAAGTTAGTTTTGAGTGGAATCATTCCCGTGGTCTATACAGATGGAAAAGCAATACAAAAAGGGGGCAGAGGAGAAGGCTGGGATGTATTGCATCAAATAGCCTCCGGCCTATAACTGAGATCAGACCATCTCCCCTGCTGAGGGATGGGACACTTTCCAGGTTGTATCAGACATCAGTACCCTCGGCTGGTCATTGGAATGCAGCAGAACCCAGAGGGTCCTCCTGATTTAGACATGAAGCTGCTGGTTTTGTGCTGTCCAGGTCCACCCGGGAGACCATATGGGGTTCTAAAAGGAATTTCTAATGGTATCCTTGCTAGCAGGTAAAAGGGAGTGACTGTTATATAGGTGATGAAAATGCAGCACATAGGGTTAGAGAGATGGCTCAGAGGTTAAGTGCACTGGCTGCCCTTCCGAAGGTCCTGAGTTCAATTCCCAGCAACCACATGCTAATTCACAACCATACAAAATGAGATCTGGTGCCCCACTCTGGCCTGCAGGCATACATGCAGGTAGAACACTGCATAAGTGATGAATAAGTAAATCTTAAGAAGAAATGAAAAATGCAACATAGACAGGTAGCTACAGAGACAGTAGCTACTACAGAGCTGGAGACCTGGGACTTTGAGGAGGGCCTTTAGGCCTCTCTAGAGGCTGGACATGTTAGCTAATGTGGCTGGTGTGTTTTTATAGGGCTGAGAGTAGCTGAACTGATAACATGGAGACTGATTTATAAAATGACCCCTGAGTGGGCTTGCTTCTCCCATCTGCCACCCATACCTAAGATATCCAGAAAAGCCTAGATAGCCTCTTTAGTTCACTGGGACTTGTGGCTGTAAGGGTACCTGCTTTCCTGAAAACATTACAGGTATCTATTTACAGATGGTGATGAGCAAGTTACCAGTGCGTCAGGCCCCTGATTTTGAGGTTGAGGGGTGATAGCTACCCATGGCTGGCAGGACTGTGGCAGTGCTTGTCAACCAAAGATGGGCCCATCTGTCATAAAGAGTGCATCTCCGTGCCCACTACAGAGTCATGGAAAATCTCAAGCCACAAGCTGAGATTTGATTTGTCACCATGAAGATAACAACCAGACCCATATTGCTGATGTGAAAACGAAGCCCAGGGAGGAACAGACCTGTAGTTGCATAGCTACATTAAGGACTGGGTCTGATGTTGATTCTCTTCCATAAATTCAAATCTTGAAACAAGTCAAACTGGCTAAGTAAATTCTCAAGGCCTCTCAATGTTTTCAACTTCTTCCCCAGGACCAATGTTGTTCCTGGGAGGTCTGGGGTAAGGACCCCTGACCACCCTTTGGGATAACACTCTGCTTTATGCAAACCAGTCACCAAGAAAGAAGACTATAGATGGCTGCTACCTTTCTGTTTGGGGGCCTGGAGCCAAGCCAGAGCTGCTTCCTCCCTATGACTACCTTGGCTCTAAAGTGGGTGGTCAATGCTGCCCAGGGGTGGAACACACATTAAGGATCCCTCATATTCCATCCCTGAGGAGATGAGAGTACCAAGGATCTTCTAAAAATGTAATTCCCAGTGAAGTTAGGGCAATTTTAAGTGTCCTCTGCCCACACCCAGGGTGCTGGTGGTCTTTATAGCCTCTCCTGGCCCTCCTATTGCTTCTTTTTCAACCAGTCTCTGTCCCAGCTATTTCAACACTAGCCCACCCAGTCCTACCTGTAGTGAAGGAGCTGTCCATCAGCACTGTGGTCTCGGTAAACCTCATAGTCTTTCTCCAGGAGCACACCTGGCGGTGAGCAACTGAAACAGCAGAATGAAAAGACAAGAGTTTAAGTGCAGTATGTTGTGATATTTCGTTTGTGCTGTGACAAATAAAGCTTGCCTGAAGATCAGAGGGTGAAGTTAGCCACTAGTTCACCATAGAAACTGGTCAGTGGTGGCACATGCCTTTAATCCCAGCACTCGGGAGGTGAAGACAGGAAGTGATACGGTGAGGAATGACACAGGAAAGAAGCAACTGGTGGCTGCTCCTGATTCTTTGATCTTCCAGGTTTTACCCCAATATCTGGCTCCTGGTTTTTATTGATAAGACTAATTAGGATCATGCTTCAGCAGTACTTCAAACACACATAGCTGCCCCTCACTTCACTTGGGATGATCTGAGTGGCATGTCATGTGTTCCTTTGTTCCTTCCCTCTTCTTAGTTTATAGATAGGGTCTCACTAAGCAGCCTGGCACTCACAGAGACCCATCAGCTTCTGCCTTCTGAATGCTGGGATTACAAATGTGCATCACATGCTCCTATGTCCCTTTCTAAGGTCGAAGCAAGAATTTCTTTAGTCCTACATCCAACTCCTCCAAGTAAGAACAGCTATAGTGGCCTGCCTAGAGGCCATGGAACAAGCAGGCCAGGACACCAGCCTTGTCCTAGAATGGGAGCCACTATTCTAAGGGCTCAGAGACAGGACTAGTGAGAGCTTCCACCAGGAATGACAACCAGAGGAGACATGCTACAGAGACTTTCCTGGGGGCCCACTGCAGTCAAGACAGTATGATGTAGGCTCTTGCCACCAATATGTAATACAGTTTTGAAAGGGCCAGACAACATAGTAAGTAGAGGGTAGATTGGCTGGTTTACTGTTTGGAAGAAAGAAAATTCATTATCAGTTGTCAATCTTTATTATTTTGGAGGCTAGGGCTTTACCATGTAGCCCTGGCTTGCCTAGAACTCACTATGTGGCCCAGGCTGTCCTCAAACTCACTGAGCTCCTTTTGCCTCTGCCTCCCAAGTGCTGGACTTAAATGTGTGCACCACCATACCCAGTCTAGGTGTTGTAACCTACCCTTCACTTAAAAAAGTTAAAGAACATGGTCTGGAGAGATGGCTCAGCAGTTAAGAGTACCAGCTGCTCTTCGAGAGGATCTAGGTTTTGAGTTCAATCCCCACCATGGTAGCTCACAACTGTCTGTAACCAGTTCCAGTTCTGGATACCAGAATCCTCACATAAATCCTCACATAAACATACATACAGGCAAAACACCAATGCACATAAAATACAAATAAATTACTTTTTAAAAAGTTAAAGAACAGCATTATTAGGAAAATACATATTACATATAATTGTGAATTGCTAAATTATAGAAAGATAAAAAAATATCCTGATGTCTTTTTAGACCTGTATTCCATTCACACACATTTCCACCTATAGTTGTCTCCAGCTTGACCCTGAAGATCTGTATGTGAGCTGAAGACAGAGAAAAAGCATCATCAGGGTTACATATATCCATCCTGGGGGCTAGTGTGAATTCCTCAAGATGGGAAGATGCTAGATTACTAGTAAACTCCTTTGAGATTCATTACATTCCAAATATGGAACACCTTTCCATTATTTTGTATTCAAATATGCACCTTAAACTATCCTCACAGATCTGGGTATAGACCTATGAAAAGGTCCTCATCATTTGGCAAGACCCACTGCCATTTTGTCCTTCACAAACTCCTGGTTCAAGACACTGAAGACCCTGAAATGAGATCTCCCTACCTGGGCTACCTACCAAGTAACTATACAGGGCTGGTCTATAGCTAGGCTTTATTTCCTTAAGTACATAACTACCTGTGGCATTTCTGCTTTTGTTTTTGTTTCCCTATGTAGCCCTGGCTGCCCTGGAACTCACTCTGTAGAACAGGCTGGTCCCAAACTCACAGAAATCCACCTGCCTCTGCTTCCCTGAATTAAAGGTTCGAGCCACCACCACACAGCAGTCTTTATTTTTTATATATATATTTATTTATTTTTCGTTTTAGCTTTTCTGCTCTTTAACTGACTGTTTCTTCATGATGGTAACAGCAACAACAAAAATAAAATAGAAGTCTAAGATATAAGTTAAAAATGAAGATCACTGGTGACTCACATGTTCAAGGCCCTGGGTTCAATCTCAAGCATTATTCTCACCAAAGCCTCACATTTATCTGGGCTTAGTGATTCATGCTTGTAACTTCAACTGGGAGGCTGAGGTTTAAGGCCAGCTGGAGACCCTCTTCATAAGCCAGGTGGTAATGGTGCATGCCTTTAGTTACAAGATTTGGGAGGCAGAGACAGGTGGACCTCTGTGAGTTCAAGGCCAGCTTGGTCTACAAGAGTGAGTTCTACAACAGCAGAAACCCTGTCTCCAAGAACCCTCTTCACAAACAGATAAATGTAAGGTCAATAAATGTTGGGTCAAGACAGTAATACTTGGCTGTGATACATAAGGGAGGGCCTAAGAGATAGCTTGGGGGGGGGGGTAAAGAGCTTGAGGATGAAGACATGCACCTGTAACCTTAGGCTGGGAGCTGGACACGGGAGGATCCTTGGAGCTGATGGGCCAGCATATCTAGCCAAAATGTCAAGCTCTAAGTTAGCAGGAGATGCTGTCTCAAAAAATAAGCTGAAGAGTGATAGACAAAGGCTCCTGAAGTTGACCTCTGGTCTTTTCAAGCACACACAGAGAATGGCATACACACGTTGCACATGTGTGTGTGTGCGCGCGCGCACACACACACACACACACACACACCACTGAAAAACTGTAAAAATACCTAAGAGAAAATGTTCAAGGTATAGAAGGAGAACTCAAGGGCACCATGACATAAAAGATGGCTGTGTAGAGCTCCCTGGTCATAACAAGGCAGCACTGGGAGAGCCCAGACCCTGAAACTCACCAGAAAGTGCACTTACCAACCAAAACATATGCTATTTTGTTGGTTCACACCAACTCACGCGGAAATTTGATTCCAACCTAAGGAAAGGAAAGGTCTTGAAGAGGGATGAGGAAATGTGATCACCCCCATGAGGGCTGCTGAGTTTCTGTGGGGGCATCATGTTTTTAAGAGATTTGTGAGAGCGAGGAATGGTGGAGTAGGTCAGCTCCTTTGTCTCTCCTGCCTGCACTTTATCATGAGCCAGTTTCCTCCATGAATCACCCTGCTTAAAAATATCTCACTATGGGAGCGGAAAATGGTCTGAGACAACATACAAGAATTTAGTAAACAGCAATAGAAAATTAGGAAGATAGCAAGTATTTAGAAAGAAGTCCTATGTCTAAAGGTCAAGAGAGCACACTGTTCACACTGAGAATGCAATGGCTAAAATGTCATAGAACTCATGATCTCCTGCCTCTGCCTCCTCAGCATATCCTTCTGATGTGTGCAGAATACTGTACAGTATTTCAAAAACTGCAAGGATATGTACCAGAAAATCAACACTAGATGGCACTAAGGTGTTTTATTTTTGCTTCTGTATGGTCATGTGTTTCAAGACCAAATGAATGACAATTATTGACAAAAGCTAGCAGTCAATATCTTCAAATATAAAATTATGATATAGTAGAAAGCTAGAAAACAATAAATGACATATGTAAACATAACTCCAATATACCTATGTCCATATCTGTTTCAGGCTGGTTATGTTATGTCTGGCTGGTCATCAAATGCCATAAGCATGGGGCTTAGTCATCAGTCACCCTGCAGGTTCCCTGTGCTCACTGCTGTGTTACACTGCAACAGGGCATGCTGGGCACAGCCCAATGTGTAGATACCCCTCCTTAGTCTCATGCTCTTTCCTCTGCCAGGGTACATATGGAAAGACCATTCCACCTGCCCGCTACTCTCACTTCCATATTCCAGAGGACTCCATGGTTCTCAAGGCTGCTCTCTAACATTGATTCATATAACTAAGGGCACCTTGGACCTTAGGGATCATGCCTCCTTCTACATCCCACCTCCAGACACCAGTACCTAGGTAGAAGGAGGCAATATAACCTGTTCCCTAGACTTTTGCCAAAGGTTGGAACACATCTCTGATCCTCATTAATCACCAATGACCAGTTAGTTGGTCCTGAGTTGGGACAGGGACAAGAGCAGCACCTACTGCATGGGCAGTCTGCTAGATAATCAACCAGATCCTCAGACATCCATGGGGTTAAGACAAGGAGCAGCACCAAGGAAGAGGTGTTCGAGAGGGAGGTTTCAGCAGTTAAGTAGAATTAGGAATAGGAGGGGAAGTCAGTCATGCTCTAGGAAATATAGCCTTTTGTTGAGGCATAACAGGAGCTCTAGCCACATGGGTTAGCTATTTTAAAAAAATGGCTACAGTTTAAATCAGGGGTCAAATAACTATAGCCAATTCTAGCCTGCCTACTTCCTTTTTTTTTTTTTTTTTTTTTAAATAAGGCCTGTGAGCTAAGAATGGTTTTTATGTTTTAATGGTGGAAAATATTTTATGATATGAAAAATGCCTGGTATTCAAATTTCTTAGCACCATGACTTGCTCCTATACTGTGTGTAGATGCATCTGTGACAAATGGCAGAGCTGATCAGTCATGAGAGAGACTCAACATGGTTCTTATAACTCATGTATTGTCCAATGGCAGAAAATCACAACTATGCAGCTGAAGCTTGACAACATTTAGCACCTCATCACGATGTAATATCAGAGAAGACTGATAACATCAAAACAACAAAAGGAAAATGGACCCTAAATGTCATGTTCTCAGCACAGTAAACCGGGTTGGTGAACACAATTTTTATAACACAGTGGCATGTCACAGTGCTAAGAGAACACATTTTAGCATTACTGAGCACAATATTCTCAACTTATATGATGCCCCCAGTGATTTTAAATGAAAGTAGAAATCTCTTATTTATATTGTTTTGTTTTTAAAGAAAATTTTGAGAGGGGCATTGGTGGCGCACAGAAAGTAGAAATCTCAAGATGGAATGTATTATTATAGCACATTTACTGAACCAAAATGAAGATCACCATTAGAAAAAAGAAAAGTGAGTTTCTGTTTCTGTCTTTCATGTGCATAAGAATTTAAGAGCAGAGGTTGACATTATGTGTCTTGTTGGTTGTCTTCCACCTTAGAGTTTGAGACAGGATTTCTCACTTAGATAAAATGGCTGATCAGAGAGCTCTACCATCTTCACCCCCACATAACCACGGTTACAGATGTGTTTGACTGTGCCCATAGTATTTATGTGGGTGCTAGGGATCTGAATTCAGGTCCATATGCCTGGAAGGCAGGACTAAGCCATCTCCCCAGCTTGAGTGTCTCACTTTCTTAGTCAAGCAGGGAAAGCTGCTCACTAATGATGAATTAAATTGTATTGATTACAGTAGCCAAAACAGTATGTCCAGATATAATAAATTTGCCTAAGACCACTAGCCTTTGAACAGACAGTTTCTTCTGTAGGTGAGGCCTACAAGAGACATATAACAGTCATTGTAATTCAATGGCTATGGCCCCTGATGACATAACACAGTACTGATACCAATCAATTTTTCAAAAGTCAGAGCTAAGCTTAAATAATAAGGAACTACCTTCTATAAACTGTCTATGTAAAAAGAAACAAACAAACAAAAAAAAAAAAAAAACCCAAAAACTACAGCAGAGAACATGTTAATAAGCCCAGTATATTAGTTATCAATGTGACAAAATGCCTGATGTAACAGGAGGGAAGTTTCTGCCTGTGACAAACAGTCTCCATTCTGTCTGTGCCCATGGTGAGACAGAGCATTACATCTGAAAGGAGGGAGGAGAACAGAGGTGTTCAATTCACAGCAGTGGGAAGGAGGGAGACACATGCACAAGGGCCAGAAACAAGATACACATTTCAAGGAGAGACTCTCGGTGACCTACTTCTTTAAACAGGCCTGCCCCCATTAGTTCATTAAGTTGCGATTTCATTAATGGATTGATGTCAGTGCCTGTGTAATCCAATTATCTGTCAACACCACCACTAGGTGGGGACAAAGCCTTCAACACATGAACTCCCCCCCCCCCCCCAGACGGTTTCTCTGTGTAACAGGCTGTACTGGAGCAGTCTTTGTAGACTAGGCTGGCCTTGAACTTACTGAGATCAGCCTGCCTCTGCCTCCCAGGTGCTGGGATTAAAGGTGTGCATTATCACCACCGGGCAACATGGGAGCCTTTTAGGAGAAACATGTCATACCCCCAAAATAACACAGTTAAAACACTAATTTAGCGCAACCTGAAGTACAAATTGCCAAAATGTGTTGCAAATAACCATGCTAAGAGTAAGTGTGTATTAAGGACTTAGGAGAACAATTTATAGGTTATATTTTTCTGTAAATCCAATCTGTCATGAACTATGGAAATGCCAGTGTTAACAACAAATTTCACTTGTACTCATAGACCTAGCTTTAAATAATTTCACTAAAATTTGTTGTTGTTGTTGTTAGAAATTAGAGCTAACCTAAGTATTGTTGATTTGCCCCACCACACAACATGCTAAAAGCTTGGAAGGAATACAATTAAATTATGATTTTTTTTTTTTAGACTAAGTGAAAACATTGAAATTTTCTGAATCAGAAAAAGTTTTCAGTCATGCAGCCTAGGCTAGTCTCAAATTTGTGATTCTCCTGCAGACTCTCAAATGCTGATATTAGAGATGTGTACATCACACCCAGCATTGCTGATGTTTCTTTTCTTTCTTTTTCTTTCTCTGTTTTTTTCAAGACAGGGTTTCTCTGTGTAGCTCTGGCTGTCCTAAACTCACTCTGAAGACCAGGCTGGCCTTGAACCCACAGAGATTAACCTGCTTCGCCTCCTGCAGGATGGGATTAAGGGTGTGAGTCACCACCTGGCCTGTTAATGCTTCTTAGTGAAGTAAGCCTACAATCCAAAGGCAAATAGTGCTCCCACATGAAACACGGGGATGGGGGGGTTAGGATAGGGGATGCGGGGGCAGCAGTCACTTTGTGGGTGACTGATGTCTCAATCATAGACAACTTTAGCTGTTTTATTTTCCAAGCTGTCAAAAAAAAAAAAAAAAAAAAGATATGATCCCATTTCAACACATACCTGTAGCAGATATAACTGCAAGATTTTCAGACAAAATGCAAAGGAAATTAGTTTTAAAATACATCTGATTGTGTGACTAAGGAGAGCCTATCTAACCACCCATCAGGTGCCATTAATCTGGAAGGCATGCTGGGCTTGGTGGCTCATGCCTGTAATTCTAGCAATAGGAAAGATGAGGCAGGAAGACTGCTATTAGTTTGAGGCCACTTTGGGCAACATAATGACTTCCATATTAACCTAAGCTATAGTGAGACCCAGGCTCAAATAAAGAAACAAAAATAAAAATTAATATCAAGAGAAGAATCTAACTGAGCTTGATATATTGCCATCTAAATGATGGTTATGCTTATTTCAAATTACACATTCATGGACAGATCTCCTTACTTAGCAACATCTACCTGTGTGAAGAGGCAAAACTTTTGTCACAACTCACAACATATGAATACTTGCCATTGGTTTTCTTTTGACACTTTCTTTGTGTCTTTGTGTGTATTTGTGTGCCTGTGTCTGGAGACCAGAGGGTGGCATCTGATGTTGTTCTGGACCAGTGTCCACCTTAACTTTTGAGAGAGGGTCTCTCAGTGAAATGAGCTACACTTGCTGGCTAGCAGGCTCTGGAGACATCTGTCTTTGTTGTACCCAGGCTAGGCTACATATGTATGACCACACCTGATTTTGTTTTTTGAGATAAGGTACTTTTGGATGTCTCTCAGAACACAGCCCTAAGTGCTCTCTGTTGAGGCAGATGTCCTCCTTCATGTGCAGCATGCTTGTTCTCATAGGGCAGTACTCTGGCTGACAGTGTGTTCTGCAAAGAGAACACCCAGTCAGCTGGACCTGGCCCAGAATGAACACAGATGATGAAATTAGCAAGTGAGGGCATTAAAGAGTAATTCAAAGTGTATTCCATATGCTGAAAAGGTTAGAAGAAAGAAAAGAACACATTGAGATAACACAGCAAATAGCAACACTTGCCTGATGACCTGAGTTTGATGGAAAGAATCAGCTACACAAATTTGCCTCCTGACATCTACATGCACATTGTAGCACATGTGTGTTACTCCCACACACACTCCAACAACAATAATAAAATAAAGTTTAAAAAAGAGGGGAAAGGAGACTGGAGAGATGGCTCAGAGTGGTTAAGAGCACTGGCTGCTCTTCCAGAGGTCCTGAGCTCAATTCCCAGCACCCACATGGTGGCTCACAACCATCTATAATGGGATTCTGGCAAGCAGGTGTACATGCAGGACACTCATACATAAAATATAAATAAAATTTAAAAATAAAAAAGGGGCGGAAGTTAAACAAGGTAAACAGAGGCATAAGATACAAAAACCATAAAATGACCCTAAAAGCTAAAGTTGTAGAGATGAGAAGCAAGAGATAAACCTCTGTTGGTAGAGTGCCTAGTATGTTTAAAGCACTGCACCACGTAAAACAAAATGTGACTGCACATGCCTATAATCTTAGTAGAGACCCTTTTCTCAGTACCAACACCCCACCCCCATTTCCCAGCCCTGCCTCCTCACCTGCTACGCTCCTCCGAAGTGACCAAGGTGGTTGCCCGCCCGCTGCGAACTGGCAGCTCCTGTGCCCTTTCTTCGGGCTCTGGCTCCAGCGAGGATCCGGTGCTGCCTTCTCGGCTGCCTCTTCCCGGGCTGCTGTCTGCAGAGGCGCGCGGTGATTCGGTGTTCTGCTTCAGTGTCTGCAGTTTAGCCAGAGGAATGATGTCGCAGTTCTGTGGGCGATGCCACACAGTGCGCTGTGAGGCGGCGCTGTAGTAGTAGAAGCGTGATGTGTTTGGGTCGAAGAGCTCCCACCACTGGTCTTCACTGGTACGCTTGATGCGCACGCCTGCTGGTGGGTCCCATACGCACTCCCCGGTGACCAGGTTGGCATACATACGTTCTCGAGTGCGTGGTTCGATGATCTCCACCCACTCCAACCTGCAGGGGACAAGGGCATCAACCAAGACACCAGCTCCCTTACATACTGGACAGGGGCTTCCATCAGCTGCTGAGTGCTCTTGTATCTGGTATTTCCTAGGGACCCTCAGGACAGCAGGCCACAAACTACTGTCCCTGTCTGGTTCTTACTCTTCAACCCTGTAATTCTTTTTATTTATAAAAATGTAAAGCACACCAAACAAGGCCATGTTATTGAATACGAATATGTTTGATGTCAGTCTATAAATGTTTAAAGACTGCCTCCAAGTTTTTGTTTAGTTAAAGTTTATTTTATTTTTATTTGTGCTTTTATTTATGTATGTGTATGTGTGCTATGAGCCTAGCTTTTACATGGGTGTAAAGGATCTGAGCTTAGGTTCTCACTCCATCAGCAGAGCTAGCTCCTCCATTCATGCCTTCTGTCTCCCTTTAAAAAGGATCTGCTCTCTCTCTCTTTTTTCAGAATTTATAATGAAAAATTTCAAATGTGACAATACAGCAAACATAGCAATGATTTCTACATATGTGGTTTCAATTATATTTGTGATTACTAATGTAGTCAAACACTTTTCTTAAATTCCTGAAAAACTCACAAGGAGCGTAGATTTTCTTTGTTCCTTACTGGTCCCTGGAGTTTTATTTTAGCCACTGTTCTAGACAGACACTCTCAATGACGTGTCATGAGTATCTATTTTGTGGTTTGTCTTTTGAAGAAAACAAGTTTTAACCTTAACTAGTTGGATTTGTAAATCATTCATGATTGCTCCTATTTCTTTCTAGTTTAGGAAATCTGCTGTACTTGTAGGACAAGCAAATTCTCTTATAAATTGACTTCTCAAAGTTTTATAATGTTGCCATTTATCCTGCGTCTTGGACTGATTTGTTTCTTGTGACATTTCATTTTGCTAAAAAGTATCATTTCTCCCATGATGGGCAAGAGCAGCTCTACCAGATCCAGGTTTCAAGTGAACATTTCTGTCCAAGATCCCGCTGTCCAGCTCTGGCTCAGCATGTGTTAGGGGAGCTTAGCAAAAAATCAACAACCTTGCCATGCTTTGGTTGTTATTCTTACTTTTTTTTTTTCCAGAGTGAGAGATGGACCAGGGGCTTTGCATGTAGTAGCACGTATTTGTTCTGTCACTGAGCTATGCCTCAGCTTCTATTACTCTTTTTTTTTCTTCAAAGAGACTCACGCAGCCCAAGCTAGCCTTAAATTCACAATCCTCTTGCTTTGCCCTCCCAAACAGCTAGTATTACAGATGTGTGCCACTGTACATTCATGTTTATTTAGTGTGTATGTGTTTATTTGGGTGCATGTTTGGAAATCAGAGGACAACTTGTAGGAACAAACTCAGTTTGCCAGGGTTGGCAGTTGTCACCTTCACCTTCTAAGACATCCTGCTAGTAGTCTTAGTTCTTGACTATTCTTAACCTGTTTTTAATTCCTCATGAATTTTAGAATTGGCCCGCTAACTTCCACACACTACCCTGTTGGCATCTTTGTGAACTCTGAATTAATACTGATTGACTCATGGAGAACAAAGACATCTTTGTGGCACTGACATCTATCCAAGGGACATCCATCTAGGTCTAAGGGCCTGTGTGCTGTGGCTCTCCACTGGTGATGACTGGCAATTCCATAGGCTGGGGAGTATAAATGCAGGGCCTGCCATGGTACAAGGCAATGAATATGTCATGTGGGATTTTGAGACACAAGGGACATTAAGTGAGGTAGCTAGCACTCAGGTGTACAGACTGACAGGCAATGCTGACACTATTCAGAACACCTGTGGAGATACTGGTGCAAAGTCAGTTTGCCTTTAATCCCAGCACTCAGGAGGTAGAGGCAGGTGGATCTCTGTGAGTTTGACACCAGCCTGATCTACAGAACAAGTTCCAGGACAGCCAGGGCTAAAAGAAGAAACCATGTCTCAACAAACAAACAAACAAACAAACAAACAAACAAACAACAAAAAAGAATACTTTAAAGGTTAAGTGTATATCTTATGAGTATATGTAGTGAGGATAATCTACCTCCTCTCAGAGCTGGAACAGGGTCTGTTTGGCCTGGGTTCTCTGGGTCAGGAAAAGAGGGCAGCCAGGAACCTATAAAAGATTCCCTCCAACACTGGTAGGTGGCATTTGAGCTCAGCACTCCAAATCCAATCTCCTGTCAACCCCAATACAGGGCATAGATAGCTGGGTATTACAAGTCTGAATTGTAGGGTGATGTTGCATATATAGGGCTATGGGGAGTCCCCTCATGGCTTTAAAGCTGTGTCATTTCTGTAGCCTTTTGCAGAGAGATCAGAATGGACTCAGGATGCATCTTTTCTCAGGGTGGCCCCAAGTAAGTCTAAATGTTTGTACACTGGGGATTCATTCAAGAGTCTTTGGACAGAGGGAGGAACAGATGAGATGGACAAAGGGTCACCATGAGTCTAAGAAGGTAAGATACACCCACATACCAGGAGGAATATATGCATTACCCATACCTTAGGGCCAAGACCCTTCTACAGGCCATCCAGCTATAGGCCACTCACTTCTCCTTGCCCTAGTTACAGAATGCATTCACTCCATGTTCACCCCACATGTGGTCATCATTCAGAAGGTTCTGACAGGGGCAGGCAATGGTGGCACATGCTATTAATCATAGCACTCAGAAGAAGGCAGAGGCAGGTGGATCTCTGTGAGTTCCAGGCCAACCTTGTCTACAAGTTGAATTCCAGGACATCCAGGACACCAGAGAAACCCTGCCTCAAAAAAAAAAAAAAAACAAAACAAAACAACCCAAACCCAAACCAAAAAAGAAGATCCTGACCTTACATAACATGAGCCCCTCTGGGGGACCCAATGGTAAACCGAGGCTACTGGCTCTCTTTGACTGGCCTTCCTGACACAGTATGGGGCCAGAACAGAATATGCCACTAACAATGCCAGCAATACGTAACTATGTCCTCTGTGAAGCCACATCAAGTTTCCCATCACTAGTGACTACACATTCAACTTCTGCCAAAGCCTGAGGCAGGAGTAGTAGTCATACTGACTATGCCCTCATGCCAATGAGTGCAGATAAGCTGTACCGCAAGTTCCCGGCATCAGATGGTCAGATTCCCTCAATTCTGCTGCACTTTCTGCCCAGGCTATTTGCTGACTGAAGCTGGGAAAAGCTTCTAGGATTGGTAACTGGGTCATCTTAATCTTAGAGCTCCTCACAGCTGTGCTGACCTCAGAGTGAAGTCCCAGCAGAGATCACAACATTCATTTCCTAGACTTGACCATTCACATTCTCCTCTTCAATCTGAAGCACATAATACAGGCAGTGTACCTCGGGTGGACACAAGCACATGTTCATGGCATAAAGAGCTTCTCCAGATCATGCCCTGGAACCATTACCCTCTACCCTTGTCAGCACGGACCCAGCTTTGTAGCAACAACTCTGGCCAACAAACACCTCAGGACTTGGCTGGTGCTTTAGTGAAGACAGATTTGTAGACAGAACACTAAGAAGGAAAATCAAACACAGACATACAGAGAGATGTGCATAGGGACTCCACGGAGCTCCTGAACTAGAGCCCAGAAGGTTCTCATGGAAGGTCAATGGAGAACAAGGCGGTAACTTCTAGATAGATGAATGGAGCTGTTAAAGGACAGAGGGGCAAAGTTAGAAGAGGAAGCAAGATTTTTGGCCTGAGTGGTTATAAGAATCAGGGCCACATAGGTTCATGGGGCAGAACTTGATATACACACTGACCATGGCTGAGGACAAACACAGCAGGTTGACTTGTTCCACAGGGTCAGCAGTCTTTCTTCAATGCTGTGAGAGGCCTCAGGCACCTCATTCTTTTGGGTAACTTCTCCCCACCAACCTTCTCCCCAATCTACCTTAGATATTATCAAAGCGGGGGTTTTCTCCAAAGAATTTTCTTGGATGACAAAAGAAAGTTATTGAGTACAGAACAATCTCTTAATCCCTAAAAGAAACAATTCTAAGTCTTAGTTTTGTTTAAGCCCTTTCAAATGAATGCAATTCAATAATCCTAACGCAACAAAGAATGGGGTTTATTCCCTTTGCATTGCATTCCTGTGCATGTGGGCAGAATCCCAGCCCTTTAGGAACATTCTTGTCATCTGGGGGGGTGGGAGGCAACATTCAATCAAGACAGAGAATAAAAGGTAGATGAGAGTGGGGAGCCCAGGAACTGACATCTAAAGCACACACCTTTAATCCCAGCATTTAGGAGGCAGAAGCAGGTGAATATCTGAATTGGAGGCCAGCTTGGCCTACAGAGTGAGATCCAGGATAGCCAGGGCTATACAGAGACACCCTGTCTCAGAAAAAAACAGAACAGAACAAAACAGAAAACAAAAAAACAAAATCAGTAACAAAAAAAAAAAAAAAAAAAAAAAAAAAAAGAATTGTATTTCAGTCTACTTTCAGCTAAAACCCCAACAGAACACCTTTTCATGGGGTACATTTAGACTGAGAATGGACAGGGGGTGTTTGTGTTGTCCCTGACAGATCTACAGGCTGGAGAAATAGGAGGTTTCACAGTTAAGTGAGGCAAGACTCCAGCCAGGATTGCTGGATCTTGGTGGAAAAAAAAAAAAAAAGTAGATCCACACAGATTGATGAGAAACATTAAAATCCTTAAAACTCTCAAACAACAGCCATGAAGCAGGAGAAGGCTTCTTCACCAGGACATAAAACTCTAGGGGACAGTGACATGACATCTAATACACCTGCAGGGAACACAAGCCAAGCCAGATGTGGGCAAACTCTATGGGGTCTCCAACAGGAACTGCTTTCCATAATGAACAGGGGCCTGCACACCAGAAAAGCAGCCTACCTAACAGGATAATTTTCCAGCAGATCAGACTGAGGGGCTGGAAGCTCATTTTCATCAGATATATGAAGACAGATACTAACTCCATGGGCAATGAACCACTTTGATAGGATGAGTACTCTGGCCAGAGCAGGGCACCATGGTAAGAAGGGATCAATAATGAGCACAACGAACAACATCTGGCTCCACAGACAACCTGGACTCAGATAATGTGCCACCAGGAGCCTCTTGGGGCATGAGCATGTCCACACTGCACGGCCCAGGTGCTCAGAGGCATTGGTCACCTGTAGGGCCATCTGTATACTATGTGCAATAGGGAAACTTGGGGCACTGCTATGGAAGTGATTCTGCCTCCCAGATGGTGCCATGTGAGGAAGAGTAAGCACCTAGGACCAGGGGAAGGCCTGGAAGCAGCACAGTAGCCACCATCATGAAGTATCAAACGGTGGCATCAAATGTTGGTGTACACCTTTAATTCCAGCTCTTAGGAGTTGTAGACAGGTGGATGTCTACGAGTTCAAGGTCAACCAGGGCTACACAAAGAGTCTGTTTCAAAAAACCAACCCAAGAGCCAAATAAAGAAGTCAATGGAAGCACATGGGTTAGCTAAAGTACCCCCAGTGCCATAAAACGCTCAGGACACAATCAGATGGTGTGAAATTTCAGAAGAGGTTCCTTTAATAAGGTACCAAGAAATTGGGTCACAGCTGGGGATAGTGGCACACACCTTTACTCCCAGGACTTGGGAATCAGAGGAAGGCAGATCTCTTTGAGTTGAAGATCAGCCTGGTCTACAGAGTGAGTTCCAGGACAGCCAGGGTTACAGAGAGAAACTCTGCCTCAAAAAAAGTGGGGTTGGGGGTGGTGGTGGGAATTGGAGTCAGATTTGGAGTACAAAAGTCAGGCAAATACTTCACACCATTCCCAAGAATAGACTCCAAATTATGCAGTCTATGGGACTGAGGATGACTCAGTGGTAGAACACTTGTTTAGCATCCATGAGGCTCTGCATTTAACTCACAGCACAAAAAACCAAAAAACCAAAAAACAAACAAACAAACAAAAAAAACCCCTTAACCTAGTATTGGAAAACTAAAAGATAAAGAAAAAGTCTTAAAATCAACTGTGACATATATAAGAGGTTATATTGGTTTACTGTCAGAGGCTTAAAACCCAAGCTGCACGAAGACCTAGCCCTCTCGGCAGGTGCTTGCCTGAATCCTGTAAGGGGTTGGTGCTTTTGTTATTGTTTATTTTTATGTGTATGGGTATTTTGTTTAAACATGCCTGTGCAGTGCCTGCAGAACCCAGAAGACAGTTTGCATGCCCTGGAACTGGAGTTACAGATGTTTGTGAGCAGTCATGTGGGTGCCAGGAACTGACCCTGGTTCTCTGGAAGAGTATGCACTCAATGCTCTTAACTGCTAAGCCATTTCTCATCCATTGTTTTTTTGTTTTTGTTTTTTTTTTTTTTTGTTTTGTTTTTTGTTTTGGGGTTTATTTTTTTTATTTTTGTTTTTGATTTTGATTTTTGAGACAGAGTCTTGTGTATCTCAGACTGGCCTCAAACTTTCCATGAAGTAGAAAATGACCTTGATTTCCTGAACTTCCTGTCTCCACTTCCCAAGTACTGAATTATAGACCTGCAATACTATGTTCATTCTATGCAGTATTGGCGAATCAATCTAGGGCTCTGTGTATGGTAGGTAAGTACCAGATGAGTCCAAAGAAACTTCTATGTTGGTTAAGGGTACAAAAGCCATGGAAAGACTGTATAAATCACCTAAATTAAAAAAGGCTGGGGAGAGTCAGAAGGCCGAGAAATTATATACTATATAGGTGTAGAAAGTGCTACAAATACAATAGGGAATGGGTTGGCACTATGGTTCAGGATGATAGAGGCGATCAAAGCCTTGAGTCAATATCAGATCTTATCTGCCTGTTATGTGACTCTCCTAACAGTCATGAAGTCATGACAACACACATGTGCCTGTCCATATGTAACTCAGAAAGGATGGACAACTGACTAACAACTCAGGGCAAGAACCCATGGACATCCCTGGACTGCTCTTATCTTTTTTTTCTCCTGTATGTGTAGAATTACTTCCAGATTAAAAGCTAAAAATTAGAAAAATAAAAAATGAGGTATGACTGGGGCTGGAGAGATGGCTCAGGAGTTAAGAGCACTGGCTGCTCTTCCAGGTGACCCAGGTTCAATTCCCAGCACCCACATGGCAGCTCACAACTGTCTGTAATTCCAATTCCAGGGGATCTGATACCTTCCTACATACTGAATTGATGTCCAGAGTATCTGAGAAGTTGAGCCCAGTTCACATGTCCAGTCGAAACATCAAGGTTTCTGAGGAGCGATGCACTGGTCTCTACCAAGTGTGTAGGTATGGCTGTGGGGGGGGAGGGCGAGACCATTGCATTACAGAGACAGAAGCAAGAATAAGCTCTGGTGAGGCTCTGTGAGAAGGCTGGTGTATGTACATGACTGGGTTCTTTCCAGGGGTGTGCCAAGAGCCCTGGAACCATACTACCTTTGCTGTGGAGGGTGGTTCCCTCCTGGATTTTCCCAGGGCCTGGACAAGTCATCAGAAGTGGACATTGCCTCCTTACCTGGTGCTTGACCCTGAGATTCTGGGCTCCTGCTCATCAACATGGTGGCTTCTGCATTCATAATCCTGTGTCTGTGACATTGCCATCTGCTTCCTTAACGCTGAGGTGAACTCTTGTCAGAGGACCACCAGGATGCCTCCTTCAGCATTAGACAGGAAGCAACCACACTAGGGAGAAAAGAAGTGGCTAAGTACTGATGGAAATGTGGGTATCAGGTGATGGCCCACACCATAAACATGGAATTACAGCATGCAGCTGGCTCAAATGGAAAGCAATCCCCAAGCCTCAAAACTCCCTAGGAAGGGCACTCCCAGGGAAATGCTCTTAGTATCCTGTTGTCTTCTCTTCTACAGAGGGAGGACCTGCTGGCTAAACCCCACTATTTAGATTCCACTTGGGTCAGAGTAGGTGCACATGAACCTGAGGAACTGCAAAGCTAGATGATGCAATGGACTATTCATGCCCCACTAGTGTATGATATCTGGGGCCCCAGCTCAGGGGAGGTTGTTATGGGGATGAAATTGAGCATAATATACCCAAAACACAGGCTTGTGCCCCATGCAAAGCACGGCTCAGGCATGCGAGGCAAACACAAATGTTCTGTGACAGGCTCTCTCATAGACACACTGTGCTGACTAGAGATACACTTGGAAAGGGACCCTTGACCCTATGATCATTCAAGATATAAAGCAGTCCATGCTATAAATGGGAATGCTGGAAAATGATCTTTTAGGAAAAACCAGAGAAAATTTGGTTTTACAGTGGGAACAATCCCTGACACAATCACAAAAGCAGCACACAAAGGGAAAAATAGTGAATTGGATTACAATAAAGTTGAGACTAAGAACACCTATTTATCAAGAAACCAAGAGTAGACTATATATGGAGGCCCACACCTTAATCCTAGCAGTCAGGAGACAGACATGCAGATCTCTGTGAGTTAGAGGACAACATGGTCTTCATAGTGAGTTTCAGGACAGCCAGGGCTACAAAGTATGATCTGAAAACAGGCACGTTAAACATGCAGCAGAAAGTAGAGAGCAATTATGGAAATGGCTCAGTTTCATTCTTCAGGGAAGTGCTCATTAAAGGCATTATATGATATAAAGCACCCAGCAAACTTACATAACAGGAAAGATAAAGACTACTAAATGCTGGCAAGGGCAAGGAAAAGAGCACTTCCATTCTACTGAGAGCTGAAGGGGACATTCCCTAGTATTCCCTAGGAGTATTCCCAAGAGGAGAATACATGCGTATACCCGACCCAAGGCACCCTTAGAATGGAGGCTGCAACTGTTCACAGAGGCCACTGTGACAATACCAGCAGCACTGTCCCAACAGAGAGGGAAGGGATACTCCAAGTGCACACTAATTCCCCAGCAGTGGGAGTGAATCCATGCACACACCAGTTTCCTTCCATAAAGTTCAGAAACGGTTGCTGCTATTAGAATCAGAACCAGCAGGCTCAGGACCAGATGGTGACAGGACAGGATCAGAGGTTGCATGCTGTCACCAGCCACTGCACTGCATCCATAGTGCTGGCTGGGGAAGCTCACAGAGCTGTTGGCAGATGCTCTCACCTTTCTCTACACATGTCCCACTACACCAAAGCCTACAACCATTAGAACAGATTATCACTAGGGTTCTTTCTTCTTATTCTTCACCAACTCCCAGAGGGCATTAGGATTAGGCCCTCTTTCACATCCAAGATATTCCATGAATACTAAGTGCTAATTTAAGGAGAAATCTGAAAAGATTCAGAGTACCAAGTAAGCCGAGAGCTGGCATTTGGGAAACAAAGAAAGGAAGAAAGAGAGAGAGAGGGAGGGAGAGAGAGAGAAAGCAAGGGAGGATGGAAGAAGGAAGGAAGGGAGGGAGGAAGGAAGGAAGGAAAGGGAACCATTATGACCAAGAACAATGAAATTCAGAAAATCATTAGGTCATTCCTTAAAAACATATATTTTACTAAACTGGCAATCTAAAAAATGTATGGATTTCTAGGTATATGACCTATCAAATTTAAATTAAGATGAGATAAACAATTGAAACAGATCTATACAAAGCCAGGATCTAGAGAGATGGCCCAGCGGTTAAGAGCACAGCTGTTCTCTAGAGGACCCTGGTTTGATTCCTAGTACCCACATAATGGCAAGCAACCATTTGCAACTCTAGCTGCAGGGGGCTCATTTCCCTTTTCTGGCCTCAATAGACAATGCATATGGTATACATACATGTAGGCAAAATCCCCATACACACAGTAAGTAAAAATCAATCAATCAATCAATCAATTAATTAAAAATACAAAAATCTCCAAACTAAAAAAGCTCATGCACAGAAAGATTCCCTGGGGAATTTTACCAGACCATCAAAGAAAAACTACCTCTGCTTCTCAGAGTAGTTCATAAGCTAGCAAAGCAGCCATGCTCACCAATACACTACCAATACCACACCAAAAGGAAAGGATGAAATATAACCAAATTCTTTTTATAAAGTTAATATTACTCTGACGCCAAAACAGATAAAGACACAATAACATCACCAATAAAAGAAAATTATAGACCAATTCCCTGGTGATCAGTGTTGCAAAAGTAAGAACTGTGGGGAGCTAAGAAAGCCCTGGCAGAGTATGCAAAGAATGGATAAAGTTCTGAGTGAATGAGTATTGTTGACATGGGAACAGTCCTGTCAAGGACCAATGTCTTTCATGGGTCAGGCTTGAAAAGGGAAAGCCTTTCTCTTCTTCAAGTATGAGAGTTTATGAATGACTGACCAATGTGTGCAAAAAACTAGCAAACCCAGTTTACTCCTCGGGGATGTTTATAGCCTCACCTACAGAGACTGCCTATGGAGACTAGCTAACTCCTCCCTAATAAAATGCCAACACCAAGCCAAGTGGGGATGCCTGCCTTTAACCCCAGCACTTAGGAGGCAGAGGCAAGTGGATCTCTGTGAGTCTGAAGCCAGCCTGGTCTACAGAGTGAGTTCCAGGACAGCCTCCAAAGCTACAGAGAGACACTGTCTCAAAAAACCAAAATAACAAACAAACAAACAAACAAATAAATAAAATGCCAGGGCCATTCTCATCTCAAATCATAGAAAAAAAGCACAGAAGAATTAAAATAGCCAAAGCAGTCCTAAATAAAAGGACACTGATGGAAGTTTACCACACCTGATTTAAGTTCTACTAAAGAGCTATAGTAATAAAATCAGCATGGGACTAAAAAAAAAAAAAAAAAAAAAAAAAAAAAGCAGACACATACAGAAATCAATGGAATGGAATTAAGGACCCAGATATAAGGCCATGCAACTACAGCAAACAATTTTTGATGAAGATATCCAATAACAGGAGAAAAGACTATCTTTAACAATTGGTGCTGGGAAAACTAGACACATGTAGAAGACTGAAACTAGATCTTTCCCTCTGCACAAAAATCAACTCTAAGTGGATCAAAGATGTCAACATAAGACCCGAAATGCTGAAACTGCTGCAGAAAAAAGTAGGAAAACACTTGAAGATATGTGAATATATAAGAGCTTTCTAAATAGAAGAAATGCAAATTATTTTTTAAAATATTTATTATTTTAAAATGAGTGTGCATGCGCATGCTCGCACACATTAGTGCAGGTGCCTATGGAAGGCAGATGGACTTACAGATGGCTGTACACCAACTGACATGGATGTTGGGAACCAAACTCAAGTCTTCTGGAAAATGACCAAAATACTCTTAACAGCTGAGCCATCTCTCCAGCCCCCAAATTACAAATTGTTAGTAAACATTCTTTACAGGTGTTTAACATCTTTATCTGTCAAGGAAACACAAATTAATAACATTCTGAGATTCTATCTGATCTTAGAATGACTATCATCAAGAAACCAAGAGACAACACATGCTGGTGAGAATGGGGGGAAACAGGAATGCTTATCCACAGTTAGTGAGATTCAAATTGGAGTAGCCACTTTGAAAATCTTTGTGGAGGTCTCTCAAAAACCTAATATTAGAACTACCATACGACCCAATTACATCATACCTGGCATAGACCCAAAGGGCTCTATATCCTACAACAAAGATACTTGCAAGTTCATCATGTCTACTGTCTAGTGACAATCTAGAAAATGGAATCAGTCTAAATACCTGTTGCATAACCAATGAATGGGTCATGAAAATGTGCTACACTTTGGAATAGAATGTTGTACTCAGTTGTAAAGAAATATGAAACTATGAAGTTTGTAGAACAAAGGACAGAAGTAAAAATAGGCTGAGTTAGGTAGCCCAGGCTCAGAAAGACATATGCCACACATTCTCCTCATGAAAACCCCAACTCTGAGTTTTTGGATTTGTATGTTTAATTCGGAGTGCCTGAAGAGATCAAGAAGCTAGAGAGGCCCCATGAGATGGAAAGAATAAGCCTGGGGTGGGGTGGGGATTGTAGAACACACATGATATTAGAGTAGGTGGGAGAAATATAAGAGAAATACATGAATTAGGCAAGGGACTCAGAAATAGGAGAGGGTTCAGGGGGAGGGTTAACCAAAACTAAGGATGTATGAAAAGGCCTTATGGTAATCTACTACCTTGTAAGCTAATTTAAAATATATAATTTTTAAAAAGGGAGCTTGAATGGAGGCACCCTGCATGAATGAATAACGTGGCTTCCTGAACCCACGGGTTATTAAATGAAAATTCCAGCGTTCCTATGGTGACATGGGAGACAGTGACGGGAGAATCTCTAGAGGCTCAAGGGGCCAGCTGTGAACCACAGACTGCCTCAAACATGGTGAAAGGCAAGCACTAACACTGCAAGCTGCCCTTTGACCTCCACATGCAAAGGAGTCATGCGCACACATAAAAGAAAAGAAAGCATGGTGTTAGGTATAGTCTTAGCACCTTGGAGGCAGGAGCAGGAGGAGGATTATGAGCTCCAGGTAAACTCAGGATACAAAGAAAGATCCTTTTTCTTTTCTTTTCCTTTTTTTTAAAGTCAGATGTTGGTTCCTTATCAATTCTGTGTGCTAGGTTGAAGACATTCCCTTGTATGTTACTTTTTGAATCAGGAAACAATAGTGGATTTTGTAAAACAGTTTTCTTTATTGATATCATGTCTGGATAACATTGAAGTACAGCAATTTATGCACGTCTATACGAGTGTAGAAGTCAGAAAAGAGCAC